CACGGGACGCGCTGCGTTTCAGGGCGCGCGCGTATCGAGGCAACGGAGCAGCCAGGCGCTGCCGGCGGCCGCGAGGCTGCGAGCGGCCACGGGGGCCGGTCTCCGCCCGCCCGCTCTCCGGGCGCCGTCGGCGGAGCCCAGCGCGCCACGCGCACGGCGCGCGCCCCGCAGACACGCGCCACGCACGGCAGGAGACCCACCGGCCGGAAGAACTGGGCAGAGCCAGGAAGCGGGAAGGCGCCGGAGCCAGGCTGGGTTTCCGCCCGCCCCCCCTAGCGAGGAGGGAAGGGGGGCGCACGCTCGTTGGTTGAAGCAGGAAGGCGCCCAAAGTTAGGTCGGGCAGGTCCCCCTGCAGGCGGGTTTTGGAAGACAAAAATGGAAAACGGTCTAAACATGCTCAACACTGCTGAACAATAGTCGAAACATCATCCCTGGACTATTTTCTGAACTATTTCAGAATATTCCTCCTGTAGAGGGACGTGCCCGACTTGAGCCCAAAGTAGATTGGGATCTGGAAATCCAGAAGAGTAGCTGCTTTCAACGACCGATGGGTACGCGGGGGGCCTGGGTGGGGGAGCCCAGAGCTCGGCGGCGAGCAAAGGGGGGGCATCGCGAGAAGGAGAGAAGGCCCTCTGAGAGGGCGGCGGGGCTTCTCTCCTGACCCTCCAGAGTGCTAAAAAGACCCTCCAGACCTTTAGACCTATCTGGACTGCCTCTAAATCCTCGACCGGGATTTGGACGTCGACGTCCTGGTGCTGTTTTTGCTAGCCCTCCTGGAAGGTCAGGGTCGGACGGAAGCCCCCCAAGGCCTTCCGAGAGGTGTTCTGCGCCTCTTCGGGGAAGGCGCGGAGTACACTTGTGGGGGAAGGCCGTGGGACTGCCGAGCCTTCTGAGAAGGCCTGGCCCCGCTCCCCGGTGCGCTCCGACCAGGGCCTCGGGGCGAATATCCAGCGGTGGCGACGAGGGCCTCCCGGGAGGCCCCCAGAGTCGGGCGGGTGGCCATGTGGGGGTGACCCAAATCGGGAGTGAAGAAAAAGACCACAAAAGTGCCCTGTGGGGCCCCTTCTGGGCACCTGCTTGCTCCAGAGAGGCCCTGGAGGGCCCCTTTAGGGCCCCTTTCTTGACCCCATAGTTAGGTGACCCCCCCTGACCACCCGCCCAGCCGAGGGGAACGCGGGCGAGGGGTCCCGGCATCGGTGCCTTTTCCTCCTCTGGGGCCTGGCAGACGCGCACCACGCACCGCCCAGGATGCACGGCGCCGACGGCTCCGCCGCGCCAAGGTCCCCCACGCCGCGGCACGACGGCGCTTGCCGCGAGACGCGACACAAAACGAGACGCCCGCCCCGCCGCGCGTTGGCGCTCTGCCTGAGCGCGAGCTGGCAGGCGCTGGCGCCGGCGCATGGCCTCCCGCGCGCGCCCGACACAGCCATGGACGAGCAGCCGGCCCTCCCCGCGCTGCGAGAAAATCCCGACGGGAGGGTTTCCGCCATGGTCCGCCTTGGGCCAGAACCTGTCATCCTTTGGCATTGTTTCCAGACCCCCTCGCGTTGCGAAGAAATCACGACGGAAGGTTTTCCTTTATGTTCGACTTCCGGGTGCCCTTCCCAGGCCTCGGCGCCGTCGAAAAACGGCTCGGGACGAAGACGACAAACCGGTTCCGGAGAAGGGGTCCAGCCCTCTGGGGGTCGACAGTGGTGACGAAACCACGAAGTCGGGGGGTCTGGGCAGGACGCGTGCGACCACCAATTCCCGAAGGGGTGGGCCCACTGGAACTGCCACATCCCTGACCAGCGCTCCGACAAGTCTGCGAGCCCGTGGGGTCCCCAGAGGCGCTGCAGATTGGATCGGCAGAAATCGGCAGCCAAATCGGGGAAAGTCGGATCGGCGGACATCGACAGGCAATTATGCCTCCAGTGGGACATAAGAACCCGAATCGGATCTCAAGTCGAATCGAATCGGAATCGGAAACCATCGAGGTCGAATCGAATCGAATCGGAATCGGAAACCGTCGAAGTCGAATCGAATCGAATCGGAGGAATCGACACGAGCCCCGTGATTGCTTTCCAATGCCGCAGAAGACTGCCCACCACGTTCCCCCCCCCCGCGCCCGTGAGGAGACCGCGCCGGCGGCGCAGAGGCTCCTGCCCTGGCTCTCGACGCTGATGGTCTGCAGTGCTGCCCTGCTGTCGAACGTCCTTGTCCTCGGCGGCCCCACGGACGCGGACGGGCTCAAACTTACCCCCCGTGAGCACTCACCTTCTCATGCTAGGTCGGGCATGTCCCCCGAGGAGGCGGGTTCTGGAGGAAAGATACAAGCAAATCAAGAGATACTCGAACATAGCCAAACAATTATTTTGAACATCGTCCCCAGACTATTTGTTGTTTAACATTTGTTTGAGCATTCCTCCTGTAGAGGGATATGCCCGACTTCATTCCCCAGACTTCATTCCCCCGACTATTCCCCGACTATTCCCCAGACTATCGTCCCCGACTTCATTATTTTGAACATCGTCCCCAGACTATTTCTTGTTTACCAATTTCTTGAGCATTCCTCCTGTAGAGGGATATGCCCGACTTCATTCTAATCCACATCGCGCTTCATTCAGAATGCCGCTGCAGCTTTGGCCTCCTGCGCACACTCGCCTCGAGACGACTCTGCTGAGGGCGTCAGCGTTGAAGACTGTCCGACTGAGTGGACTGCTGGGACCAGAATGCACCGTCTCCGCCGTATGGGAGAGAGAAAGACAGAGAGAGAGAGGTTCCAGTAGCCGTAGCCATTTTGGCTCAAGTTCCAGGCTCGAGCAAGCTTAGCCAGCGAGTTCACACCCAAGGTCGGCAGTCCTGGGCGGGCCTTTTTTGTCCCGTGTCACGTACTTCCAGCGAGTACAGCAGGAGAAAAGCATTGATCGTTGTCGAGGCAAGGGGCGCACAGCTTCCAGTATTCGGCGGTGGGCAAACCTCCCTTTAGTAAACCTCCCCTTAGGGAAAACGACCTGGGACAAACACAGACAGACCTGGACCCGCAACAATGACGGCCGCGACGCCCTCTCGCGAACCGAAAACGGCCAATTCGCTAATCGACGTGTCAGGGTAGGAGGTCTGTCAACCTCCGAAGTGTGTCCCGCCTCTCCCGAAGAGCTCCGCACTCCGGGGTGCCCAGGCGTGGGGCCTGCAAGAGACGCGGCCCCGACCCCACCTGGTAGGCACTGTGCGCGGCCAAGGGTGGTCCCCGCCGGACCAACCCGCGATGCGGGAATCGGTGGGCTCGCGCACGGTGGCCAGGGTGGGCCAGGTGCGCGGGCGACTGCCATCGACTCGACGGAGCTTCCAGTCTTGGACCTAACGGACGCGCAGCTTACCTCCATCTGCAGTCACGCTTCACACGGAGCCTCGACCCCAGATCAAAGCAAACAAGATACTTCGAGTGACTGCCCAGGGAAGTACCCAACCCACCCGAGCGCGTTCGTAGCACCCACAGGGGCGAATGCTCACTTAGGTGCCCATGAGCCGGCACTCCGTTAGACCCCCCAGGGCTGACAATAACGTGGCTGCGATTGTCCTTCGGGGCGTACGGCCAAGCTCCGCTGGACAGGTGCGGAGCCCACTGCACGCACAGCAACAGCCCTTGGGGCGAGGCCTCGTCTGGGCCCACACAGCGCAGCACTCCGCCGCCCGCCCCATGGGCTTTGGAAAGTGTTGTGGATGCCATGACAATGGACATCCTAACAATCCTATCACTGAACTACACATTCCTTAACATGTTTGAAAACATGTTCTACAAATGTTGAACACAGTTTTGTTGTGAAAGGTCTTTCTATACAAAAAGTTTAGGACACGTTTACAACATGATGTAGACATCTGGACTATATTTGGCAACATGCTTCCTCTCCATTGGTCGCCGTCCACAAGGAGAGTGCTTGCAGCTGCACACTGGGCTGCACCAAGGAGCGCGAGCCCCCCAAAGATGCGCCCGATTGGACCCGCGGGCCCTGGGACCGCTGGCCCTGGGGGTTCGCTGCCGTCTGCCTGCTTTTCCTCCTCCTCCTCCTCCTCCTCCTCCTCCTCCTCCTCCTCCTCCTCCTCCCCCTCCTCCTCTTCGTCCTCCTCCTCCTCCCCCTCCTCCTTCTTCTCCTCCTCCTTCTTCTTCTCCTTCTCCTCCTCCTTCTTCTCCTCCTCCTCCTCCTCCTCCTGACGGGGACCAGTGATGTCCTTTTCGCGTCCATGATGGGCCCCCGAAGCCTCAAGGCGCCTCCATGATGGCCCCAGGCGAGCTCTAAGAGGGGTCCAGACAGAACGACACCCCGCTGGACCCCAAGGGACGCGATGAACTCTTCCGTCATCTTTTTCGGGAGGGTCCAGCGAGGAAGAGAAAGAGACAGCGCAATCACCCGAAGTACGGCCCATCATTGGTGTGAAACGCGCAGACATCGAACCAGGATGCGTGCCACGATTGCTCACCCAGGGACGCAGTAGACGGGGGAAAGTTGCGAGTCTGGCAGTACCCAACGAAGCCCGAACAGCATCCACGAGAAGCCAACAGGCGCAAGCAAACACATGGGGACCTATGCACTGACAACAGAGGTGACAAGACACGATGAGAGCAGACGAGGTAAACGAACAACCGAATGTAGAAAACGCAACGAGGAGAGAGGAAACGAGAGCGGATATGCAATATGAAGACAAAAGAAGAGGTGAGGCGGGTAACACAACGGCAGAATAATCAGAGAGGCGAGAGGACGCGGAAAGAGGCGCCAGGAAGTATTGAACAATAAATGCTCCAGACAAAACGAATAATTATCCAACACATCAGGGTTGTTGCAAACAGCGGTTCGCAAACGAACAAATCATGGCATGCGATCGCTGCCCATTCCGCTGGATCAAAAGAACGTGGTCAGCTCCTCCGTGGCCACCTCCTCCGCGGCCGCTGTGATCATCTCCTCTATGCAGATCACCTCCGCGTCGGCACACAGAGTATCCAAAGTGTGGCTCCCCGGCCCAACTGCTGGGAGGGGTCCACCTGCAAAATGGGTGCTCGTTGTTGTTGTGTTTCTGGCGGGGGGGTCGAAACGATCTGCCTCCCCCCCGGTGTGGTCACGGCCTGGACGCCTTAACAATAATGGGAGAAATGGCCAAGGAAAATGGCATGGCTTGCGATGTGAGCGCGTGGGGAAGGGCCATGAATTGGTCATCTGAGCCAGAACCTACTCGAGAGTAACTCGGCTACCGGTTCCTTCAAGCATTCTCCGACGTCTATGCGAGCAGGGCGCGCCGTACCAACCCCGTCCACTCTTCTGGAACCAACGACTGATCGCGTCGGCACTCAAGCCAGTAGAGGTAGCGCTTGTAGGTGCAATCGTGCTCGAACAGACAGAAGATCAAAAGCAAAGAGAACGTGCAATATTGAAAGACTCGTGGGAGAGGAGGAGGGGCAGGATGAAGGGGAGAAGGAGGAACGCTCAGGCCTGGATCCCGGGACTCGGAGCCGAGTCTCCGCCATTCGCGGGCGCGGCCAAACCACAACTGCGAGGCGTATCCAGCCACGGAGACGAGGGATCACAAGGAGACCGCGAAACAGTGAGACACATGAGGAATAGGACAGGACGAGAGAGAGAGAGAGAGAACAAAGAGAGAGAGAGAGAAAGAGAGGTGTGTGTATATATATAGATCGAGAGATATACTCGACGTGGAGATCCCCATCTGTATCTATTTGCCTGACTCTTTTCCGTTGCGATTATATGGGTACGGGGGGTCTGGGTATGAGTGAATCGGAATCGGAATCGTCCTGCGTCTTGCGCCGCGAGGGGGGGCTGCAAGGTGGGGCCGCCCCCCCGGAAAATAAAGGCGTGTGAAACAAGAAGAACAAAGGAGAAGGAAAGAAACGGACTGGCCGCTCACGAAATCCAGAATTGGAGCGGAGGAAGCAAGAGTCGAAAATTGAAGCCGGAAAAAGAGATGAATACAGGTGTCGGGGAGGTGGCGAGCCGGAGTCGGAAAGTATAGATACTACATTGAGTAGTCTGCGAACTTGTCCTCGAGAGCGTGCCATGTCTGTACTGGCCATCTTGAGGAGGATGTGCAGCACGTCGCGTGGGGTTGTCGCTTCCTGTAGCAGCGCCTGGTCTGACTCGCCCCGCACACCACTGTAGAGCTCAATGAAATTGAAGATATCATCCGGCCATCTCCTCTTCGGTCTGTGGTTGCGCCTCCTGGCGTTCAGCGCTGGGTGCTCGGATGGGTCCCACCATAAAGCCCGTATCGTCCATTCTGACGGTTGCGCCCCAGCGACCTTCTGGAACCATCTCCACTCCCGGCGCCGTTTCTATCGCACCCAATCTTCCATGCGTAAGTTGTGTAAGTGTTTCTCTGCTTCGAACGCACCGCTTGATCTGATTTGCCCAAGGTTCCAAGTCCAGATCCTCGTTGTCGTCTGGTTGCGTGGGAGCCTGCGCAGGGGAAGGCTCGCTGGTGATATCCCGGCCGCTGTCTGTCTGCTATGATGGTGCACGCGGCGTGCTGCAACGCGAGGTTGGTGGGCCACTAATCGTTTTATGTTTCCGTGGCAGGAGTATAATCATAGGTAGCATTTGGCGCTGTACCGTCTTGATTCGGTTGTCCAACTCTTTGGTCATTGCCCAGGCCTGAGGACTGCAAAGTACAGTAGGGGGTGCTGCGCCACTGGAGAGCCGCACCCTGTCCTTGAGAGAACACCTCCGGCCCGTGAACTCCTGCTTCGTTGCGTGAAACTCCCACCACGCCGCAGCGACGCGGCTTTCTACTTCCGAGCGGTTCGGGTCGACGAAGCACAACTTTCGGTCAAGGTACTTTGTGTTCCCATTTGGTTGCAGTGTCTCTATATCCTTTCCGTTGATGCGGACATGTTCTGGGATCTTGGTGCGGCGACTGGCACTGCTGGATTTGCGCTGGATTTTTGTTTTGCTCCGGGGTAGCACCAAGCCCACGCTGCTCGCCTCTTCCAACAGATCTCCAACCATGCGGGTCACTTGGGTCAAAAGACGTCGCCACAGACAGAATGTCATCAACGAGTCGTGCATTGGATAACCGTTCTTTGTGCAGCAGGTGCATGCGGATGCCAATGTTGGCTCTCGCCCATTTCTGTTTCAAGCGTTCAATAATATACTCCGAAACGCTGTTGAGCAGTCGCGGACTTAGCGGGTCGCCCTGCTTTGTGCCACGCTGGATCGTGAAAAGGGCGCTCGCGCGGTCTGTTGGGACACTTGCTGTTTGTCCTCTACACTGGTTCCGGAGCAAATAGAGGTATCCTTCGTCAACGCCCGCCCTGCTGCTCCAGCGCGTCCCATATGCCACGGTGGGTGACACTGTCGAAAGCTTTCTTGCAGTCAATGGCAGCGGTCCAAAATGTTGTTTGCCACTCGTCTGATGTCTACTGCAACATAGCAATCGTGAACACATGGTCGGTGGTCGACCTGTTCGGACGAAATCCTGCTTGATCTGCGCTGTGTCGCCCCTCTAGAACTGGCAGGGGTCGGTTGAATAGTAGACGAGAATAAAGCTTACACAGCATAAGAATGATCGATGTAGGCTGGTAGTTTTGCGGCAAATTCGAATCACCACTCTTGTGCAACACCTTCACGACAGCATGCTTTCATGATTCCGGTAACAATGCCGATCGGTTGGTTCTGTCGTTGTACATCATCAAGAGAACCGTACAAGATTGACCCGCTATGCTTCAACATCTCTGCAGCAATACCCGGCACGCTTGTCCGCATAGCCGCTGTGAAAGAAATGTGCCGTGACGAGCCTGATCTGGAATTCCTGTTTAGGGACGTCGCGTAATTCCGTGTAGTTGCATTAACCGTCACAAAATCCAATCGCACCCCATTCAACTCCGACAACAATTCCAATGCCCGGCAGTCGTCGGTCGTACCCTCACTTTTTCATCGGAAATTCTCGTATCCCCGTCTGTGTGTACATTGCCCCCCTACCCCACTTCACGATTGCATGCTCAGTCGTAGGTGCCCCACCGTGATACTGCGCAGTTGTGTCCTGAGCGGGAGTGACAGAATTCCTCAGCATGTCCTGAGGCGCAAGACAAAGCTCCTCAGGGGCAGTGCGAAGTAACCCCCATTGGGACATCCCAGTCCATAGATTTATAGATTCCTCTCCCCACACCACCACAAAACACATGTAAGCGCTCTCCCCCGCATCGTCGCATCGTAAGGGCTAGATATCCTATGCAATCTCCTCTTTCCTTCACAGACGCCGTCCTCGTAATGGTATTGTAAATCTGTGTGTTCCCCGGCAGCTGTCGGTGTCAAGCCTCCCCTTCCACGTGCTTTTCACCAGTTGCCCATGAATTCCTCGACCTCTTTGTTTGCGTTGGCGCCCTCGTGGTAGGTCTGCGTGGATCCGTCGAGATCCACCTTCGCAGTGACCTTTCCGCGTATCTTGACCACCCTCTCGTCCCAACAGATCTTGATAGCATGCCTGTCGATCCCCCCTACTATCTTATGTTCTATCGACAGAATGCGTTTCACGGACGTTTGTCTTGGGAACATCCGGCGGTGCGTTTCAAACCGGGGGGCGGGCCCCCCCCCGCCAACACTAGGCGCCGTCGATCAAAAACAGGGGACTCCCCTCCCCCCCTTGGCGCCGGCGCTGGCGCCAGCGACGGCGGGGACGCAGCGACGATTACCACCACTACCGCCACCACCACCACGACCACCACCACCACCGCCTCATCCCACCGCCACCACCACCAACCCACCACACAACCGCCACCACCACCACCGCAGCCACCACCACGACAACCACCACAACTCATCATCCACCACCACCATCACAAGAAACCACCAGTACCACCACCACCACAACCCACCACACCACCACCACCACCGCCACAACCACCACCACTAACCACCAGCAGCACAACCCACCGCCACCACCACAAGCCACCACACCACCACCACCACCGCCACAACCACCACCACGAACTACCAGCACCACCTCCACGAACCACCGCCACCACCACAACCCACCACCACCACCACCACGAACTACCACCACACCACCACCACAGCCACCACAAACACCACCACCACAACTCACCATCACCACCACCACAAGAACACACCACCACTACCACCACCACCACCACCACAATCTACCACACAACCACCACCTCCGCCACAACCACCACCACTTTCAGCAGCACAACCCACCACCGCCACCACAAACCACCACACCACCACCACCACCGCCACCACCACCAGCACCAGCACCACTTCCACAAACCACCACCACCACCGCCAACACCACCACCACCACCACAAACCCCCACCACACCACCACCAAACCACCACCACCACCACCACCACCCACCACCCCCGCCACCACAAACCACAACCACACCACCACCAAACCACCATCACCACCACCACAACTCACCACCACAATCACCACCACCACAACAAACCACCACACCACCACCACCACAACCACCACCACCGCCACCACCACCACCACCACAACCCACCATTACCACCAATACCGTCGTCCTCGTCGACGCTCCCTGCCGCCGCCACCCGCCGCCACAGGCGCCGGCGCAGGCCTAGAAAAGGAAATCGTCGTCCCCGCCGCCGCCGCCAGCCGCCGCCGACGCAAGCGCCGGCCCGAGGCGAGGGGAAGCAGGGGAGGGAAAGGGGGGGGGGAGGGGGGGTCTGGTTCCACCCCCCCTTTCCCCTCCAAGCGACCACAGAACGCGCTCTGTGGTTTTATCCGACCCAACGTTTTCTCAATGACCCGCTGATCAAAAGTACTGTCGCTTTTGCAGCAAACCTTGTCCTCCTCGTTCCGTTTATGCTGGGTTTGCCGAATCCTCTTCAAGAGCCCTATTTTCATTGCCACTGTCTTGAATTGGACTGCTCCTATCTTAGACGGCTCGGTGAAGGTAGAAACCCTGACGATCTTCTCAGACACCCCCACGTGTTCGATAGTACTCGTAATCTTCCCTACGATGGTTTGCTCATCCACATCGCTCTGAAGCCCCAAAACATCACTTGAAGTTCGCGTTCCTCCAGTTCCTCCCTCTCCTCTAATATTGTGACTTGTTGAGGGCGGACATGTATGTCACTGGTCGGGTTGCTCAGAGCCTTCCTGACCTGGTCTTCCACCTTGTTCGCCACCTCCTTGTTGAATGCTTCCCTCGTGATGTAATCAGCCTCCGCATCCCCAGCGCGGCCATGCGCATCGCGTGCAATTTGTAAAACGTGACTGGCATCATCCTTGGCCTCCTGGATGCTCCTTTTCACGTCTGTCATGTCCATCGTGAATGTGTTGAACTGTGTGCTAAGACGAGTTTGGAAGTCCTTGAACCACTGAGGAGGCCCATTGGGTACCGCGAGCTCCACTGGCATGTTGTCCTTTTCGCTCATCGTCGCGTCCTCCGTGGTCTTAGGCTTCTGTTTTTGAAGCGAAAGCCCAATCTGCCCACCCTGTCGTTTTGATTTGGATTCGGGCATGCCGGCCCAGAAAAAGGGCTGTAAGCGTATCTCGATTCGTGGGTGAAGGGATAGAAAGAAAGTGCTAAAAAAGTTGGGTGTAGTGATATGCCCTTGAGAGATATGCCCTTGAGCCAGACTGGGTCTGGGTAGCAGAGAATGGAAAACAGGTGAGCCTGAGTGTGGGTGAGTCTGCGTGTGGGCGAGTCTGGGCGTGCGCGATTTTCTGTGAGTCTGACAAAGCTTAGGGCACGCGCATCTGAGCGTGAATGGTCTGAGTTTTTTAATGTAGGTCTGAGTGTGTGTGTGGTATGGGGGTGAGTGGTACGAGTGCGATTGTGGGTTTGGATGGTCTGTTTGTATACGAGTGTGGGCGGTCTGCCTGTGAGAGTGAGTATGAGTCTGGGTGCGTCTGAATCTGACTTTCGGCTAAGCGTATCTAAAAGTGACAGTGTCTGAGTATGGGAACGTCCGAGTGCGAGTCTGCGCGTGGGTGAGTCTGGGAATGAACGACCTGGGGCGGAGGAGGCGGGAGGAGAAAAAACAAAAGAGGAAGCACGTCAAACCACGCGGTTTGACTGGCGGGCGGGCCACACGTGAAGAAAACATACACACGCACAAGATTCGAGCCCCAAGGGAGGGGTTATCTACAAAAGCTGACTTGAAACACATAGGATTCGAACCCGGGCAGGGGCAATGTATAGGGACATTGGCGACAAACCTCGGATTTGAGCCACAGGAGAAAGGGAATCTATAGGAACATACGTAAACTAGACATAGGGCTCGAGACCCATGGGAGGGCCAATCTGCAGGAACACGTAAAAACGCTTAGGATTCGAGCCCCAGGAAAACACATATAGGAAAATGCATACGCCGCTAAGGACTCGAGCCCCATGAAAAGAGCAAACTATAGTAACATACGTACACAAGTTAAGATTCGAGCCCGAGGAAGCACCCTGGAGCTTCCTGGGGTTTCCTAGGGCCTCCTGGGGCCTCCTGGGGCGACCTGGGGTTTCTTGGCGCTTGCTGTGGCCTCCTGGGGGCCCTGGGGCCCCCTGGAATATCCTGGGGCCTGGGGCCTTTTGGGGTTCCTGGAATCTCCTGGGGCCTCCTCGTGCTTCCAGGGGCCTCCTGGGATTTCCTGGGCCATGGTGGGCCGTCCAAGCGTCAAGCTCACGGTGCCGCGTTCGAGATAATAGTCTGGGTCAGCGCGGCTCTCGCGGCCGTGGCAGTGGCAACGCACGTGGTGGCACGGCCTCGGAGGATCGGGCATCCTGTTGACGAGCGTCTGCCTGCACCCGCCGCCCACGGCCTTGGCCACGTGATCGCGCGCGGGGATCGAGCCGATTTACTGGAAGGCAAGGGCGTCGCCCATTGTCGCAGGCCCGGGCAGAACTCGAGATTTTCCGCCGCACTTCTCCTTCGCAGGGGTATAGCAGACGACTGGGTCATGGGCGACGACGCGGCCGCCCGAGAACAGGAGGATGCCGCCAGACCCCTTGATCAGAGGAGACAGCTTCCCCTCGGAGGTGCTCTTCGGGCCCACGTACCCGTCGCCAACCTCGTGTCACCCACCATCGCTCCTCCATGCGGGAGACCAAGGGGGGACCGCTCGTCCCTTCGCGTTCGCCGGGCTTCCGCCCCGAAGGGTCGTATGGAACTCCGCTGCCGTTCGCGATCACGCCACCCTTGCCACCACCCACTCTCTCTGCATGAGCGCGGGGACAGGTGCAAAGCAAATCTTTCTCACAGACCCGCCGCAACGCCAGCTCCAGCGCTCCACCGTTGTTTCGACACGGCCGAGCGCCTGAGCCCAAAAGGCATCAGACGTCGGGAGGTGGAGGAGGATCCACTTACGTGTTGGTACACGGAGGCAGAAGGTAAATAGAGAGAGAGAGAGACAGAGCGATACATAGATACACCTAGATATATACACATAAACGCATAGACATATATGTCTGAACGGCGGCAAAGAGGGGAGATAGGGGGGGAGAGAGAGAGAGAGAGAGCGGCACAGAGCGAGAGAGAGAGAGAGACACACGCACATGTATATATATATATATATATGGAGAGAGAGGGGGGGGGAAACTAATAGCACGAGAAAGAGAAAGAAAGAGAGCGAGAGAGAGAGAGAGAGAGAGCGGCAGAGCGAGAGAGAGAGAGAGAGAGAGCGAGAGTGACAGAGAGGGAAACAAACAGGAACACAGAGAGAGAAACCATGAACACAACGAGAAAGACAGAGAGAAACAAAAAGGGCGAGAAAGAGAGAGAGAGAGAGAGATAAAGAGGGGCATCACAAAGAGAGGACGAACAAGACGCAGGTGCGGGGGGGCTTCGCCTCCACAGGCTCAGCCCCGCTCGTGCCCGGCGGCACCCTGCCGGTCGGCAGTCTAACCTGGCCAGGGCTCTGGGGGGGGGAGACCGAGGATCGAGGGACGAGAACGGACAGTCGAAGCATGGCCCTGGCCTTAGGTCGGGCATGCCCTCCTACAGGCGGATGTTGGACGAAAAATAAAATTGCCCAAAAAAATGCAAAACAAACTGTAAAGCAGAATCGGAACTTCGTCCTAAACAATGTTTTAAGATTATTTTTTCAAAACATGCCCCCTGTAGAAGGACGTGCCCGACTTAACCCTGGCCAGACGAACGTCGATCAAGAGCACGGGCCCCATCGCCGGAGGCCTGAGGCCTGAAGGAGGCACCCAGAGCGAAGAGGACTCCAAGGAGCAGAAGCCCAACAGGAACATCGCAGGGGTACGCTCTTGAATAAGCTCTGGCTGCTTCCAGCCCTCGTGCCAGCCGCATGCCCGCGAGACGTCGGCATCGGCGGCCCGCTATGCCCTGCGAGCTGATGTCGGCGGCGAGCGAGGGGGGGAAATGAGAGGGAGAAGGCCTTCGCAGAAGGCGGTGGGACTTCCCAGAAGTTCTCTCGCCTTCGGAGCAAATCTTGCGCGTGTCCGGGCAAGGCTCAGGAATCTCCCCAGAAGGCCGCGGGACTTCCGAGCCTCCCGAGAAGGCCCGCTCCTCCTCACAGCCCGACCCGGGCTCGTCGCCGATGCCGGCGTGGCGGGAGAGAGGACCGGGGCTCCGCGGGGCGGGGGGGCTGGGAGCCACTCGGGAGGCGGACGCTCGCGGACTGGGACGTGGTCGGCGCGTCGCGCCGAGGCGCGGCACAGTGGAGACCCGTGCCAGGAAGCACCCTGCTTGCCTCCAGGGTGCCCTGGGCTTCTTGGGTTTCGATGGTTCTGCCATGGAAAGCGTGACGTGCCCACACCAAGCATCGATGGACGTCCCGGGGTCTCAGGGTCGGGTTTCTTGTGGAAAGTTTCTTGTGGACTGGCCTCCGCTGTACGCCAGAACAGGCGGCGCGACACGCGGAGCAGAAGACGCTGCGGCAATGCTTGGCCTCGGCTGGGGCGGTGCTTGGCGACAGCTGGAGCGGTGCTTGGCGACGGCTGGGCCGGTGCATGTCCCCGACAGTTTTTTACGAACGTCCGACATGGGTGAGGAAAACTGTGGACGATGCCCACCCTCAAATGTTGTCCAAAACCGACAGCGGCCGCTGTTGGGCAGGCGACCCAACGTCTCGATTTCCACAACGTGTACCCCCAGAGGTCTTGACCCCCTCCCCTTCCCAAGGGCTGTGTTTGCATCCTGTGCCGTCCTTTGACGCCCCCCTGGGGGCCGAGCGACTGCCCATCATACCGAAGCGGATCCAACCATGGCGACTTGGGCGCTCCCGGAGGCCAAGAGAGGGCGACAAAGGCTCAAAAGCCTCGAACCTCGAAGCTCGATCCCCGAGTTCGCGATTCGCCCGCGGTGAGGCGCCTCCTTCATCTCGATCCAGCCCTCCGGCAACGGCGGAAGCGCCTCGCAGGTGGCGGCCTCCTCCTCCCTTTCTTCCCCGCCTCCTCTCCCGCCTCTTCCTCTCCAGCCTCATTGTCAGCCCATCGCAGAGCACAACACGCAACGCACGATGCGCAACGTAAGTGCAAGACAGAAGCCGGCGGGCGAGAACCCCTGATCGAGACCACACCTGGTGGGAGGAAGGCACGGGAAGCTCGAAGGCCCAGTGGGCGTGCGCCAACCCAGCCAGGAGGAAGGGACCAGGAAAGGGAGAAGCGGCCGCTGAACACCAGAATCAACGAGGCCTGAGGCAGCATAGCGACACCGCAGGCTACCTGCGTGTCGGATGCCCACGTAACGGGCGTCCCAGGAATCCGACGCTGCAGTGCAAGACTGGAAAATCAGCTAGCAGTGAACCACCAGAAGTGGGCACGAACCGCAAGGAGGAGTTCCGCCACAGTGAAGACAGGCAGCACTGTCGCAAGCCCAGTGCCGATTCGAGGGCGAAGGGGTAACCCACGGTAGAAGCAGGCGGGACAGGCCCCTAACCCTAACCGAAAGGCAGGAAAAACCGAGTGAACAAGTGCATGCACCATAGCAAGTAGCGTAAACAGACAGGTGCGCCGAATGCTCGCGATGGCACCGCCTCACGCAAAGGGGTCTCCACACGACGGACTGAAGGCTACAACAAGCACTATTCGAAAGTACAGAGCAACAAGCACGGGTAGGGCACCAGGGGGAAGGCTAGCAAGCACAGACCTGGGCCTACAGCGCGCAAGAACGTGACTACATCCAGTAGCGTAGAACAGGCGAGCGCACCGAACTCTCACAATGGTACTGCCTGATTGAATGGCACCTCGCACGACGGACTGAAGGTTGCAACCGACAGGGTGCGATAGTGACAGAGCAAGAAGAGGGGGTAGGACGCCAGGGGACAGCCGACAAGCAGAGACCTGGACAAACCTACGTACGGCACGCAAGAAAATAACTGTACCAACAACGCCATGACAGAGAGTCAACGAGGCGAGTACAGGCACGCAGAAGGCACCAGTGAAATCAACGGCCTGTGCTGCCAGGCTCTGGAAAGGTGTCGGGCAATTCCTGCTCTCTGCGAGCGAGCCCAGGCATTAGAGCATCCTTCTCGTAGTGAGGCAGCAGGCACGGCAACTACATCCTTTGGCAATGCGCCAGCGCCCGTCGCGTGTGATGTGTCAGCACAGATGGCACGCTGGTGGCCCCTAGGGAATGCATCTGAAACAATGGCAGAGCCCACTTTCAGCTCGCGTCGCGGGCCAAAACGTCTTCTTGCACCTTCTGCAAGTCGGAGGTTGCGGAGTGCCAAATCCCTCTCCCTCATTCCGCTGTGTTCGCTGAGCAGCAGCCTGGGAAGCATCGCGCACGGGCAACGAACGCCTCTCATGCTGTGGCAAGCCGCCGTACTGGACAGCATTCATGTATGAAAGTCCAGCCTGTCTTGCCTGCGGATCTGCACGGATTCTCCGTTACGTAGCTCCTGATGAGCCTTTTTGTTTGCAATGTGCTCCTCTGAGAGCAATGAACATGAGACAGCGCGCTTAGCACGCTCCAAAACAGAACGCCTGGGCTGTGCATCAGCGTATCTATCGCACAGCACTGTCAGCATGTCAAGCTGCTCTGTGTCGAGCTGGTCTTGCCCCGAATTAGCTGTGCCAGCCTTGAGGGCGCGAGCGTCGGCAGCGCTCAAATGTCAAGGAACGAGGGGATCTGGAGCGCAAGCGGGGGCGGCCCATGGAGGCAGGCACAGAGGGAGGCCGAGGGCAAAAGTACGAACGAAGCTTAGCGTCGGCTACAATCTGCCGACTCAGCCGAGAGAGCACTGAGAGCGCGGCGCCCGGCGACGACCTCTCTTGGGAGAGCGGGGGCGCGCGGGCTGGGTCGAACGGGGGCGCCCCATCGGCACAGGCCAGGGGGCGCCTCCTTCGACAGCGCCATGCCTCTCGCGGGCGACAGAGGCCCCGCCAGAGTCCGAGGTCGACAGCCTCCGACAGTTCAGACGAAGTCCCGCTGGTCCCTCAGCAGCGACGGCAGGCGACGGAGCGGGCGACGCGTCGGCTCCGGCTGGTGGTCCCTCCGCTCCCTCCGGTGGTCCCGACGGCAGCAGCGTAGCAGGCGACAAGACAGCAGGTCCGTCACTGGGCACAAGAGAAAACTACGAACATCCAGTCTGCAGAGGTGGCAGCACGAGAGGAAGAGGATGGACCTGCCGACCTGCATCTCGTCCTTCAGCTGGGCGCTCGGATGCCGTGTCTGGGGGCGGCGGCGGCGCCGGCCACAGAGGCGGAGCAGGCCAATGCGGCGCTGGCGGCATTGGCGGAGAGACGCCGCCTGGCGCCCAGTACATGGCGGCGCGGCTCATCGCCCTCGCGAAGAGCACACTGGGCCCGAGCCGTGAGCGTGCGCGATAGAGGGGCAACACTGCTGCGGCTACGGTTCGGGCCTGAGGGGAAGGAGGGGGAGGAGGAGGAGGAGGAGGAGGAGGAGGAGGAGGAGGAGGAGGAAGAGGAGGAGGAGGAGGGGGAAGAGGAGGAGGAGGAGGAGGAGCGTCCCTAAGAGAGCTCCGTTCGCAATCATCGACGAGCCCCCACACTGTGCGGGAGGTCAGCTGCAAGACGCGCAGCACGGGCGAAGTCCGCCGCCTCGGAATCCGAGGGCACTCATCCTCCAAGTCCTCTCCGCTAATTGCAGAGGAGGAGGAGGAGGAGGAGGAGGAGGAGGAGGAGGAGGAGGAGGAGGAGGGGGGAAAAGGAAAAGGGGGAGGAACAGGAGGAGGCGGTGGGGGAGGAGGAGGGGGAGGAGAAGGAGGCGGAGTGGGGGAAGACGACGGGGAGAAGACGGAGGAGGAGGATGAGGAGGAACATCCTGCCCTCCAGCAGGTGTCGACCGACGGGCTCGGAGCTCTGCCCCGATGCACGAGGCGCGAGGTCCTCGCCCCACCTCGGCCACCGCGCGGCTCGGTGCGTGCGCCTCTGGCCACGGAGGTCGGACAGGACCCCCCACGGCCCTCGCGCGTTCACGTCTGCGTTGCTCTCTGACACCGCGTTGGGCCCTCGGCAAGGCTCTCGGTCAGAGCCTTCGAGAGCCTTGCACCGCGTAGACCTTTTCAATCCTGAACGGTCGCGTCTTTCCAACAGCGCGGCCGATTCCGGGCCACTGGCAGGAGAGCCCATCCTAAATGGGTGGGAGGCAGAAGCAGGGCTCGGATTGCCCCACGCGTTCGACGAATTCCGAACCCTACCCCCCCCCAGACCTCCAACGTCGCGATTTTTCCACAACGTCGACCCCCAGAGGTCTGGACCCCTTCTCTGGGACTTTTTTTTGTCCTGAAGTGTTTTTTGACGGTCCCGAGGCCCGGGAAGGGCCCCCGACCCATTGATCGGAGAGGGTAGGACGCGGAAGTCGCCGCCGAACTAAACTTAGGTCGGGCATGTCCTCCTACAGGCGGATATAGGAAGAAAACAAAAAGTAAACAATAATCACAAATCGTAGACGAACCGTAGCTCTTTGACGGTCCCAAGGCCTTTTTGAGGGCCCCCCGAGGCCGAAAATAGCGAAAAACTTCGCGTCGTGATTTGTTCGCAATGCGGGGAGGTCTGGACTCGGCGGCATCGGCGGCCTCTCGGCCCTCCTCCCCCCCCGAGCTCGGCCTCGGCGGCCTCGGCCTCCTCCCGCGCGAGCCGCTCCAGCTCCGCGGCCTCCGCTTCGGCGGCCGCGGCCTCGTGGGTGGCCTCTCCGCGCGAAGGGGGCGGGGGCGGGCGGAGGAGACCCAGACCCCCTCGCGGTGTGCAACGATCACGACGGGAGGTTTGCGTTATTTTTGGCTTCTGGGGGCCCTCCTTCCTCCTCCTCCTCCTCCTCCTCCTCCTCCTCCTCCTCCTCCTCCTTCTCCTCCAACTCCTCCTCCTCCTCCTCCTTTTCTTCCTCCTCCTCCTCCTCCTCCTCCTCCTCCTCAAATTTCGGCCTCTGGGGGCCCTTACCGGACCTCGGGACCGTCAAGAGACGATTCGGGACGAAGAACCGGTCCCGGTGAAAGGGTCCCGACCTCTGGTCGACGCTGTGAAACAATCACGACGTCGGGGGTCTGGGAGGAGAGGGCGCCGAGCGACCAGCAGCAGCGTGACGTCACTGGGGCCATGGCCAGTTCTCGGCGGCCAGTCCGAGGGGGGGATTCCGAAGGGGCGGCCCTCAGAGGGTTCGGAGGGATACCAAGAAGTCTTCTTAGCCTTCCCCGAAGACGCAGAAAGCTTCTCAGAGGGCCGGATGGCTTCTGAAAAGTCCCGCCGCCTTCTGAGAGGGCCTTCTCCTTTCACTTCTCCCCCTCGCTCGCCGCCGAAGCACAGCTCCCCCAGCGCGCAACGCGCAGCCCGTAGCGTGTTGCCACGGAGCTCAGCACGGAGATTGAGGACGTCCGTTTGGCGCGAGGCGTCCGCCAGAGCGTGGGCCAACGCGTGCCGAGCCAACACGCGGCGTGTTCACACCTCACGTGCGTTTTTGCACACGGCACGCGTTGCGCTTCAGCACGGGCGTATCAGGGCAGCTAAGTAAGGAGCAGGAAAGCACACTAATTAATGTTTGAGCTTATGCGTTTTCATTGACCCCTCGGTTGGCCCCAGTCTCAGATTGCATGATCCGAAAACCAACGCCTCGCCCGTCGCCTCCAGGGGGTGCATCTCCCACGCGTTCGCTCGGACAGGGGCCGGGGTCGGGCAAGGATGTTTCAATGTCTGGGCCCTGTGAGCCTTTCTTGGGCGAGAGCCATGTAAACTTTTCCGCTGCCTCATGCTGCAGGCCCTGTGCTCTCTTCTGGGGCTCCTATGCTGTGCGTTCTGGCCCTGTGAACTTCTCTGGGCCCTTGCCCCGAAGGCTCCCAGGGCGATCCCTGGCCAGACCTGCGCAGGGGCGACGCCTTCGGGAAGAGGAGCGGGGTGCCCTGCGATCCTCGGTCGCGGGTCTTCCAGCCAGATTGCACCCCCATGGTGCGCGGCCGAAGACCCGCTGCATGGGCGGAGTACAGTCAACCCGCAGAGTAAGGATGCGCGATGAGCATGCAAGGCCCTTGGACGCCCATCTCGAAGCGTTTCGAGCGGGGCGCGGCCAACGAAAGTGTCCAAGGATGGACCCAGGAAGCAAGGATGCAAGGGTACTCCAGATTTCGTAATAGAGGGAGGGGGGTCTCATTTGGGGGGGGTCTCTTCCAGGCTATCTTGGAGGGCCTGGGGGGGTCTGGGGACGATGTTTTGGAGGGTTCTCCCACGGGGGGGGTCTAAAACTTCTCGTCTGGGAGGGTTGAGACCCCCTCCCTTTTATTACGAAATCTGGGGTACCCGTGGGAGGGATGCCTATCCCTACTCTGCGGGTTGACTGTAGGGGGTTTGCGCCGAGGTGGGCGGAACGAAGCAGGGAAGGGCAGGGCGAAGGCTTCTTTATATTCACCTTTGTGTGGGTGTGGTTGCCGGTCCTGACTAGGGCGGCAAAAGCACTGTTGCTTCTTCGAGGGGCCGTATCTGTCCCGTCGTGCTCCTTATCCGAACCGAATCCGTATCGAATCCGTGTCGGATTCGCGTCGAATCCGCGTCAAATCCGCGTCGAATCCGCGTCCCATCCACGCCGAATCCGTGTCGAGTCTTCACCGAGCCCGCGTCGGGCACTAGAAAAAATCGAGTTTGGGGGACAGGCGAGTTCCCCCGAATATTCGAGACACAACAAGCTACATAGACATCAACTTCTGGAGGTCCGCGCTGATTTCTTGGATCGGCGATGGACCTCCTATCCCTGGCGAGCGGAGCGAACCCAGGGGCGGCGCCGGAAGCACCGCCAGGGGGCTCCATCGCCGATCTGAGAAATCCGCGCGGACCTCCGGAAGTTGTTGTATCTGTTTTTCGGGTCCCCAAATAGATGCAGCGTGGCCACCGCGGCGGGCAGTCTCTGTACAAAGCAGCAAATCCACCCTCATAACAAGCACCCCGACAAGCGAAGCCACCTGGCAAGCGCGCCCGAGGAATGAATCGAACAGGGTAGGGCTGCGAAGTAAACGCCGAAGCCGTTTAGAAAATGCCAAATATCGGGGTCGGGGTGCCTCAGGCCTCGGGAGAAGTTAGCGAACACTCATGCCACATTCATGTGTCAATGCTCCCCCCCCAATGACCAATGTTGGCGGTGGGCTGGGTAAGTGCACTTCGACCGCCGTCTTCCCCGCGCGTGCCAACTCTGAGTTTTGGGGGGCGGGGGAGTGTCCACTAATTGTTTCCCTCTACCGTCTCTGCTCGGGCGGAGGAGGAGGAGGAGGAGGAGAAGGCGGAGGAGGGAGGAGGAGGAGGAGGATTGTTTCTTCCCTTGACTCTGCTCTCGGGTCGGGCGAGAGGGCGGGGGGGTCGCGGAGGGGGGGGCCAGCGGCGCAGCTCGCGTGGCGTGAACAGAGCAAGGGCCACCTGTCCACTTAGACCAGACAAGCGCGCTCCACGACTCGCAAAGTAGCTACTCGCAAACGGCCTGGATCCGCCAAGGGGGGGCTACGATCCATTACATAGAGGAAGACATGTTTTTGTGTTCCCGGACGTTTGCGACTAACTAGGCACTTTGCGAGCAGTGGGACGCTCTCGGTGATAGACCACAGATCAGCCCGAAGGCCTGGCCCACCGAACGCACCTCGGCAGGATTGCGTATGATGCCGCCAGCTCCACAGGTTGCCAAGTGGCCAAGTGATCTGCACGCTCCCTGAGATATTGGCCTGCATGGGACTCCGCCTTCCGCCAAATGACATATTGAGCCACTTCATCATTGATATGGCGAGCCCTCCGGACGAGCCCAAGATTCTGCCGAGCCCGTGCAAGCCTCAGCTCGCGTGACTCCTTCTCCCCGCGCCTCCTGGCGCCAGAGGGGAGGCAACGACGGGGGGTGGGGGGGCTGCCACAGGGGTATCGATAGTTGGCGGCAACCACAGCGGGGCAACGCTAGGGGGGGGGCGGGGGCGGCAACCATAGAGAGGGCATCGATAGGGGGGGGCAACGATCCCAGATCCCCTCGCGTTGTGACAAAATCAGGACGGGAGGTTGTTCCCCGTTCTGGCATCCGGGAGCCCTCACCGGGCCTCGGGACCGTCAAGAAACGGCTCAGTAGGAAGAACAGGTCCCGGGGAAGGGGTCCAGACCTCTGGGGGTCGACGCCGTGACAAAAATCACAACGTCGGGTGCCTTGGATAATGCGGGGGCCAGCATCGCCCTGGACTCGGCGACACATATAGATCGGCGGCAGCCCCCCGATGGCGAAGCCGCACGCTCCTGGGCGGGTCGGGCTACCTCGTTAAGGGCTTGACGACTTCTGACGTCTCTCGACTCGCGCTGGAGCGGTCGCGGTGAGCGCCGGCTTTCCCCTGAGATTTTTCAGGATTCACCTGGATCAAACCAGATTTACGTGGATGTACCTCGATCTATCTGCGTTTACCTGGATTCATCCGGCTCGATCCCCACAGGTCGATTGGCGAGAAGTCGTCAAGCCCTTAGGGGCTATCGGGCCCCATGTCGTTAGGTCGGGCATGTCCTCCTACAGGCGGGTTTTGCGCGAAATTAGAAAATAGTAAAACACATTACGCCAAAGAAAAACCCCAATCAGTGGATGGTTTTCGCTGAGGAGATCGACCGGTAACCCAGAACCCACCGAAGTCGGCCCGGAACCAATAACCGGGAACCGGGGAACCCGGACCCGGGAACCTGGGAACCCAGCCTGGTACCAGAATCGGTGGGGAACTTTCGCAACATCTTCCAACTTCAGTGCAAATACTGATTGGGGAACCGCACCGAACTTCGCACACGAAAGCGGTTCCTGGTGCATACGGGATCCTGGTGTATACATGTTTCATGGCTTCCCTGGGGAAACGGGGAAGTCAGTACACACCACACCACCCCGACGTCGCCCCCGACCCTCAAAGAGTCAGAGGATTGAAGAACAACCCGACAGTGGTAATGTACGGCAGGTTCGTGTCGTGCCGACCCCAGCGTTGGTTTTTGACACCGCAGGGATCGTTCAACCTTGAACGATCGGCCGCTGCCGCAACGTCCGATCGTTCAACATCGATCGATTCTGGGTCGCCGGCGGCGTTCAACCTTGAACGCCCGCGCTGGGGTCGCCGCTGGTCGACACGACGCAAACCTACCGTAGATGCTCCAGCTTCCGAAACTAATGAAACAAATCGTTCCTGTATTATGTTTCACCATTTGGGAATCTTCCTCCCGACCTAACGGCAGCGGAGCCGCGCGCTCCCGGGCGGGGCGGGCCATCGGGCCTCACCTCGGGCGACGCGCGGGCGATGGGGGGGCGGGGCGCCCCCCCGCCCCCCGCCTATCCGCCCCTGCCCTTGGCCTTGAGAACCTCCTCCTCCTCGTGCTCCTCCTCCTCCTCCTCCTCCTCCTCCTCCTCCTGCTCCTGCTCCTCCTCCTGCTCCTCCTCCTGCTCCTGTTCCTCCTGCTCCTGCTCCTCCTCCTCCTGCTCCTCCTCCTCCTCCTCTTCCTCCTCTTCCTCCTCCTCCTCCTCCTCCTCCTCCTCCTTCTCCTCCTCTGGGGGGGGGGGCAGCACAGCGGAGGCCCATGCCGAGAAACACCCTGCGTGCCTCCAGGGTGCCCTGGGCTGCTGGGGCTTCGATGGCCTTGCGATGGAGAGCACGACGTTCCCGCACCAGAGATCGAGGGACGTCCACGGGTTTCATTCATGGTCGGGTTTCCTTGTGGACGGTCTCTTGTGGACGAGCCCCTGCTGCACAGGATGAGTTGGCGAGTCAGCTCGCGTGGCTGACTCTCCTGGCGCCTCATGGCCCCGGAGGCGCCAACGTCATGCATCGAGGGAAGCAACCGGGTGCGGGATACGCAGGCAGCTGCCTGCGGCAGGGTCCATAGACAGTGCGGGCGCGACCGCAGCCCCGAAGACGCGCGCGAGAGGTGCGACTGGGGGGGAGTCCAGGGCACCCTGAACACAGCAGCCCCTTCCACGGCCGCGGGAAGTCACCGCGCAGCGCGAAGAGCGCAGAAGCCCAGGGTACCCTGACAAAAACCATATGGTTTCTTGATGCGTGCCCCCCGCTGATGTACCCTCCGGTCGGGCATGTCCTCCTACAGGCGGACTTCGGAAGAAAAACAGAAACAGTCAAAAAATAGTCGAAAATAGTCTAACAAGAATCGAAACATCGTCCCCAGACTATTTGTTGACTATTCCTGGATATTCCTCCTGTAGAGAGACATGCCCGACTTATCTGTACCCTTCCCCTGTGCACCCCCTTCCGTCCGACCCGAGGCTCGGGGGCCCCCGATAACGGTGTGGTGACCACACCGCGCTGGTGAGCCCGTGGGGCTTCCCGGGGCCACCGCACGGCTTCGGGGCTGTCGGGCCGCTCATCTGGGGACGGTGTCCTCTGGCGGCGGGGGCCTCCGAGGCCACAAGACTTGGGTCGGGCATGTCCTCCTACAGGCGGCTTTTTCGCAGGAAGCAACAAATAGCCAAGACATAAACACATGTGATCACAAGAGCACGGACAATCGTCCCCCGACTATGTTTCACGATTATTGAGCACTCTCCCTGTAGATGGGCGTGCCCGACTGAACGCGCAGGCCCGTGCGGTGACGCACCGCGCGGCGAGGTCTCGAGGCCTCACCGCGCGGTCCGTCGCCGCGCGCTCGTCCTCGGCCCCTCGCCAAAAAACGTGCTTCCCGCTCCGCGCCGCCGAGGGCAGGGCGGGGGGGCCGGCGTGTCAGAGGCCACGGCGGGCCGCCGGCGCGGCACGCCACGCTGGAAGCGAGGGCGGGCGCCTGCGCGCGACCTCGACGCGGGCAGCTCCCGCGCCGACGTCGGCGAAGACGGCCCCGCTCTCCTGCGTCGCTCGCGTGCGCCTCGCTCCGCGCCGCCGAGGGCGGAGGGGGGCCGGTGTGTGTCAGAGGCCGCGGGGGCCAGGGCCTCTCGGGCTCGGGCCTCTCGGGGAGGGGCGGGACCTCTCGGGGGACGCCTGGAGAACGCTGGAGGACTTCGGGGGGGGGCCTCGGCAGATCACGCTCCCGCGCTGCAGAGAGAGAGAGAGAGAAAGAGAGAGACAGGCATAGAGACAGATGGACAGACAGACAGACGGACGGACGGATGGACGGACGGACGGACAGGGCAGGACAGAGAGACAGAGATACAGAGAGACAGACAGACGGACAGGCGGACAGAAAGGACAGAAGAAGAAAGAGAGAGAGAGAGAGAGAGAGTGGCTGAGAGAAGACAGAGAGGAGACAGAGACAGAGCGAGATCGAGAGAGAGAGAGAAAGGCGAGCATAGAACGAACATGGCCAGGATGAGTTACGAGAAGAGCGCGAAGGTGGCTGCCTCGACCCCGACCTCGCACGATAAGAACGCTGCGAGTCCACCTTCTTCCGCGTCTGCTGGAGATGACGAGGGTGCCTCCTGGCTCTGATGCTGCTGCTGGTCTGCTGAGCTGGGCAGGGCTGCCTGACCGGCAGCAGCGTCGACCAGAGACACCGCGTCCACCCAGGTGGCGGGGCCGTCCTCGACCTGAACACGCCATCGCATCTCCTTGCCCTCACCAGACACCTTCAGCACCGTGGCTCGCTTGCCCGCGTGCATGCCTGCCTGAACCTGCACCAGTGCTCCCTCGTCTGCCTCTGGCCGAGCCTTCTCTTTCTTCGGTGGGCCAGAACTCTTGGGCGGTGGCGGTGGCCCTTTCTTGCCTTTGCCCTTACCAGGCACCGCGCTGTCTCCAATCCTTCCAGATAAGATCGCTGCGGGTCCACCCTCTTCCGCGTCTGCTGGAGATGACGAGGGTGCTTCCTGGCTCTGATGCTGCTGCTGGTCTGCTGAGCTGGGCAGGGCTGCCTGACCGGCAGCAGCGTCGACCAGAGACACCGCGTCCACCCAGGTGGCGGGGCCGTCCTCGATCTGAACACGCCATCGCATCTCCTTGCCCTCACCAGAAACCTTCAGCACCGTGGCTCGCTTGCCCGCGTGCATGCCTGCCTGAACCTGCACCAGTGCTCCGTCGTCTGCCTCTGGCCGAGCCGTCTCTTTCTTCGGTGGGCCAGAACTCTTGGGCGGTGGCGGTGGCCCTTTCTTGCCTTTGCCCTTACCAGGCACCGCGCTGCCTCCAATCCTTCCAGATAAGATCGCTGCGGGTCCACCTTCTTCTGCGTCTGCTGGAGATGACGAGGGTGCTTCCTGGCTCTGATGCTGCTGCTGGTCTGCTGAGCTGGGCAGGGCTGCCTGACCAGCAGCAGCGTCGACCAGAGACACCGCGTCCACCCAGGTGGCGGGGCCGTCCTCGATCTGAACACGCCATCGCATCTCCTTGCCCTCACCAGACACCTTCAGCACCGTGGCTCGCTTGCTCGCGTGCATGCCTGCCTGAACCTGCACCAGTGCTCCCTCGTCTGCCTCTGGCCGAGCCGTCTCTTTCTTCGGTGGGCCAGAACTCTTGGGCGGTGGCGGTGGCCCTTTCTTGCCTTTGCCTTTACCAGGCACCGCGCTGCCTCCAATCCTTCCAGATAAGATCGCTGCGGGTCCACCTTCTTCTGCGTCTGCTGGAGATGACGAGGGTGCTTCCTGGCTCTGATGCTGCTGCTGGTCTGCTGAGCTGGGCAGGGCTGACTGACCGGCAGCAGCGTCGACCAGAGACACCGCGTCCACCCAGGTGGCGGGGCCGTCCTCGATCTGAACACGCCATCGCATCTCCTTGCCCTCACCAGACACCTTCAGCACCGTGGCTCGCTTGCCCGCGTGCATGCCTGCCTGAACCTGCACCAGTGCTCCCTCGTCTGCCTCTGGCCGAGCCTTCTCTTTCTTCGGTGGGCCAGAACTCTTGGGCGGTGGCGGTGGCCCTTTCTTGCCTTTGCCTTTGCCCATGGACTTCACAGCCTGGGGTCAGATGAGCAACAATACATTCGTTTGCCAGTATTGCTCCTACGCGCACGTGCAAAATCACATTGCGTCCGAGGATGTCCGTGATCCAGCAGCACGGTTCTAGAACGCAGCCGTGCAACGAAATTGTGATGGAAACTCGTCCCAAGAGCTGACCGTGAACTTCCTTCACCTACTGCCGTTGAATGTAGCCGCTGCGATGTGAGTCGTGGGTGCAAGTCGAACCCGACCGTGGCACATCGTGCAGCAGTGCGGTATGTAGAAAGCGATCCATGGGACTCCAGAAGCACAGTCCGAAAGATCCCCGTCGGCCCTCAGACGAGCTTCACGTGCCTGCGTTCCGCGATCCCCGAAACAAAGGCGTGCCACACTGCAGGAGGCGGTCTCGGACTCATGATCATATCAGGCGAGTCCCCTACACGAAGATATCACTCGAATAAATCTCACTCGTTCGGTCAGAAGCAGTCAGTGGAACACATGCGCACAACCATGGACATCGGCAAGCACCCGAACGATCGAGTAGGAAGCCACATGTGCAATGATTCAGACGAGCGGGAAACTGAAGAACGAACAGGAACAACACCAGAGCAACGAGCAAGCAGTGGCGGACGCGGTCAGCTACACCCACGAGCAAGCCATCCGACTGGCAATCGTGCAAGTGCGCAGGCTCCCAGGATCGCCGGAGGGGGCACGGAGGAAGCCCTCAGACGGCCCAGTACATCAGGATTACCTCAGACGCCTCAGGTTCTTGCAAGACCTGACCTTCCTCTCGCCCCTCGCTGCCTCCTATCCCCCTTCTCCCCCTCCTCATCATTCTCTTTCACGTCCTTCTCGCCTGCCTCACCGTGCCATCCTCGTCCTCCTCCCCTGACCTGCCCTCTCTGAGACGAACGCCCGCAAGGGCCAACCACAATGAGACACTCCAAGGTGCCGGTCGCGTCAGGCTCACGGAAGATGTGAGCAGGCGGGGAGGCCACCAGGCAGATCAGAGGCTACCCTCCCGCTCGTGCTGCGTGGGGAGCTGGAGTGGCACTCGCGCGCCGCCACTTCCCTGGTGCCTGGGCGTCCAGAGAAGTGGCACCTCCCAAGACGTCCGACGTTCGGTGGCAACTCATGGGAGTCTCTCATACCACCTTGTCGGCTCTTGCGAATCGACGCTAATCGACGCTAGATCGACGCTAATCGACGCTGAATCGACGGCCATCGACGCTAACCGATGCTAAATCGGCACATCTCATCGACTCCCAAACGCTAATCGACACTAGCCGACGCTGAAGACGGAATGAAGAGGAGGGTACACCAGGCTCCCATGATTTGCTACCGAACCGACGTCGGTTTTTGTTCGTCCTAAACAACGCGGCTCCACAAAGATCCCTCGACTCCTTCCTGGGGACCGGCCTTTTTTTATCATCCCGAGTTGCTCGGTTCGGAGTGCCACGCGCGCGCCGCCACTTCCCTGGTGCCTGGGCGACCAGAAAAGTGGCACCTCCTCAGACGTCCGAAGTCGTTTTTCAGTTTTACGCAACGTGGCTACACAGAGATTTCTCGACTCCTTCCCGCGCACCGGCCATTTTTGCATCCCGAGCGTTGTTCTGTTCGACGTCCCCGGGGGGTTCCCGCACGAGCCCCCGCGGGTGCAGAGAACTGCCAGAGGACTGTCCCTCGTGTTTTTTTTATTTCTCCTGGAGGTCCACCATATTCTTATCTTCTTAGTTACATCTAACGGATATACCTATAAAGATGCACATACATACATACATACATACATACATACATACATACATACATACATACATACATACATACATGCATACATGCATGCATGCATGCATACATACATACATACATGCACGTACATACGTACATACATACATACAAACAAACATACATACTTACTTGCATACATACATACATACATATACACATACATACATACACACATCCATACACACATACATACACACATACATACATACATACACACATACATACATGCATGCATGCATGCATGCATACATGCATGCATACATACATACATACACATACATACGTACACACATACATACATACAAACAACCATATATACTTACTTGCATACATACATACATACATACATACATACATACATGCATATACACATACATACACGCATACATACATACATACACATACATACATACATACATACATGCATACATACATACATACACACATACATAAATACATAAATACATACATATATATACACATACATACATACATACATACATACATACATACAGACAGACAGACAGACAGACAGACAGACAGACAGACAGACAGACAGACAGACAGACAGACAGACATATATGTATGCATGTATATGCGTGTACACATCTATATGTATATGTATGTACCCATCGGTCGGAAGTAGGTGGAAACATGGAGAAGAAAGGCTTTGAACATAGATTGGGCTCCGTCCACCCCCTAAGGAGGCCGGACAAGGTGAAGCCGCTCGATCATTGAAGTAGGAAGGTGCTTAAAGTAGATTGGAAACTATGAATCCAAACATATTTACTTCTAACGACCGATGGGTATCAACATGTCACCTCTACTCAACATCGAGCTCACCAACGGGCCTTAACCTCCAGATGCAGACTCTCCGATACCACGACTTGCTCAGTTTAGGGGTCCCCAGAACGGTGTGGTGACGGACCGTGCGGCGACCTCGAAGTCCGCAAAGACACACCGCAAGGTCCGTCGCCGCACCGTTTTGAGACATTGGAGGCCCCAGCTGTCCGAGACATCCCCGGAGAACGGCTCAAGTCCCAAACCCGTGCGGTCACCCCAAATCCCCACTGACTGCGGAGACGGTCGGGGGGGATAGTAAGAAGGGGGATGCATGGACCTCAAATGGCCGATGCATGGCCCATGAATCATCGCCAATACACCGTCGATGCAGACCGCCCCATGCATCGTCTATACATCGTCGATGAATCGCCCTGATGTCAACGATGCATCGTCGATGTTTCAACGATGTATCAACCAGTCGAGGTCAGTGCATCCCCCCCTATGCCTATCCCCCCCGATCGTTACCCCCGACCGACTCACCACACGGCCTGGTCACCGCACAGCTTGGAAGACCCTGGTCAGCAGGGCCCTCCGCCCCTGACTTGCTCTCTGGTCTGCTCCCGAGCCCGGGAGTGCCGACGGGGCCCGAGGATGGCGAGAATCCTCGTTCGGCGGCTGCCCCGGCGGCGTCCGAGCACCCCTCCCCCTGCTCACACGCGCTCGCGGATATAGAGAAAACTCAGCGCCGTGGGAAGGGATGGGAGGGAGGGGTCGGATGTCCGAGGAGGCGCGAGCGCGCCCAGCTTGCCCTCCCTCCCCTCTCTCCCAGATCCCTCCTGTGACCACCCACTCTGGGGCGGGCGGTCGCCAGCCAGGGTCCCGGGGGAGGCCCGCCTGTGGTCGGGGGGGGGGTCCCGGGTCCCCCCCCGGGGGTCCTGGGAAGTCCCGGCAGGCGCCAGCGGAGGCCCCGGGTCGGCAGCACCAGCCGCAAGGCCTTCACGATCCCTGGTCGAAGGCCGCCCCAGCTCCCCAGCAGGGTCCGAGCACGCGGGGTCGGAGGATCGTGCCACATCGCCGATGCATCGGCGACGTCGGCGTGGAGAAGATCGGACCCCCATCGAGCCGAGAGGCCCTCGCATCGCCAAGGCGGCGCGCTCGAGCATGGCGGCCCAGATCTGCCTCGGTGTTTCCAAAAGGCGCTGGAGGTCTCTGAAGGTGGTACCCCCGCCCCCGGGCGCCACTGATCTAGGATCTATAAGCAACGGCGGGCTAGCTCCGCGATGACGCGGGCACTGATCTCTGGCACCGCGCGGCTCGTCCAACCTCTGACTGGTCGCCGATCTCAGACAACCGAGGTCGGGGACGCACTTGCCCGGGTCAATGCAAGCCCGGGTCAGTCGACTTGCAGGATCCTACAAGATCCTGCAGGATCCTGCGCGCAAGCCCGGGTCAGTGTGACCCTGGCCCTGCAGGATCCTTCAAGATCCAGCGCGCTGGCTGACCCCCGTTTGCACTGACCCCCGTTTCAAGGCTCCCGACGAGACCGTGGCTGCACTCGCTGGCATCGCCGCCGCGCCAGCGCGGGGCGAACCTGCTGCTGGGAGGGGCGCTCGGAGCAGACCCCGAGCCGCCTGGTCGGCCCCGGGGCTCGGTGCATCGACGCCCCAGCTTCCCTTCCCAGATCCCTGCGCCCAAACCCTTTGCTCCCGGGCCGCCCCCTGGCGGCGCCTCCGCCGCCGCCCCTGGCGTGCTCCGCGCGCCAAGGAGGGGGGTCCAGCGCCTTTCCGAGAAATCCGCGCGGACCTCCGAGATTCTATGTGTATGTCAGTCTTCACTCCCCTGGGTAAGCACGCGAGGCCCTGGAGCGCCCAAACTCAGGCGGAGAGGCAGGGAGGCAAAAAGGGTACCCTTTGGACATTTTTTGTTTAGAAGGGTACCCTTTGGAAAATGACTCGTCCTTGCGATGCGGCTGGTCCGTGCACCGGGCAAGCCCATCGGCCAAAAGGCGCGGCATATACGGCTGGTTCTTGTGACATCTGCTGGTTCCAAGCGATTGGCGGCGTTCACCCTTAAACCTCCGTGGTGGGGTCGCCACCGCGTCTACGTGGAAGGATTATGGCGTAGACGACCTGCCGTAGTCAGGAGGGCGGAGGAGGTGGAGGAGGGGGACGGAGAAAGAACAGCAATTCAAAAGTGCACTGCTCCTAAACCAAACCATCATCTCCATGGCAAAAATGCGTGCAAATGGCGGCAACGATGGACACGCTGGTGAGGCTGCATCGTGTGCCCATGTTTTAACAAAGGCGAATGGTACGAACCAAGGGGATACGACTCGAATCACCGCCGAACTACGTATACAAAATCTAAAAGCAAGCGACACCAGTGTCCTGCGGAGCAACTCCGGTGGTGTCGGCAGGCTGTTCGTCAACCTTTGTGTCCACTGCCCCCTCAGCCTGTCAATGTAGCAACGGTGCTCACTTTGAATGTGTACAACGACTGCTGATGTGCTACTCTCCTTTGGCAATGCAAAGTGCACTGTGCGCGATCGTATCGTGATTATGCACAGACTCGCGCTCTGAATCCATGCAGCGATTGCTGTTTACGCTTCGCACGATTGTATTACACGTTGCTCCGACCAACTCGTTGACCTCCCATCCGACACGAAGAATCGTTTGCTAGCATGGCGTCCGCATATTTACGATCTACGGCTACTGCAAGTAAACCATATAAAACAACACCAACACTGGCCTGCCAATACTGCCACGCTGTCATCAACAAGTCTATAGCTGTTGGCTTATCACGTTGGCCAACGGACTCCAATTGCTCGTGATGCTTGTCTACCTCCTTGCTCAGTCATGTCCACCCGCGGTTCTTCAAGCCTTGTCACACCGCGAATTGACTGCTGATTCCAAGTCAGACTCATGATCAGATTCCCGACGATGTCCAGACTCTGACTCTGGCTCAGATTCCCAAGGCTCCCATACGCCTGTCAAGCGACAGGAAGTCATGGAACGGATGCTGGAAAAGCAGATGACGAGGACATGTAAAGTCGAGGTCGCAGACTGAGCAATGAAACCACGCAGCGCAACACTACGGCAATCCGCATTACAACTGAACTTACGAACATTTCTTCCATAATGCTCTCGAACCTCAAAATACTATGGGTTCAACCTGACACGTATCCGTTGTAAGAGTCGGACTGGTCGGGGAACACTACTGGCAACCCTTCCTCGGAGGTGAGGGATATCACGATTTGCTGGGCGCCTTACAAGCCAAACGATGACTGAACTGAACTGAGCTGGACTGAATTGAGTGCAGCTGAACTGAACAGACTGGTCGCAACCGTTACGCGGCGGTTTTACCTTCGGCCGCCAAGGTCGCAACCTATGGCGCAACCGATGAGGGATGGTTTTACTCTCGGCGGCCGAGGGCGCAGCCGATGGCGCAACCGATGGGAAACATCGCGTTCTCGGCCGCCGAGGGCGCAGCCCTTTGGCGCAAACAACAGATAGGAGACGGTTTTACCTTCGGCCGCCGAGGGCGCAACCCATGGCGCAACCGATAGGAGACGGTTATATTCTCGGACGCCGAGGGCGCAACCGATGGCGCAACCGATACAAGAGGGGTATTTTTCTCGGCCGCCGAGGGCGCAACCTATGGCGCAACCGATAGGAGACGGTCTTATGCTCGGCCGCCGAAGTGCCAGGAGAAGGAGGATGACCAGGAGGAGGATGAGGAGAAACGAGGATGATGTCCTAGACGAAGACGGCGAGGAGGAACTGGAGCAGGAGGAAGACTAGGAAGACAAGGAGGATGAGGAGGCAAGCGTACGACGACGACGACGTCCCCACCTACCCGTCGCCGCGCAGTCCGAGGAGGATGAGAAGGAGAACGAGGAGGAGGAGGACGACGACGACGATCAAGATGGGGAGGAGGACGAGGATGGGTCACGGAAGTGTGGGCATTCGAATGCGTGCGGGGCTACGCCCAGTTTCTGTTCGCCGCTTGGGCTGGCGGTGGGGCCCAAGCGGCGAGCTGTCTTGTGATTGGTTGTTCTGCCGATTTGGGGCCATGCCTGTGCAAACTGGCACGCACAGCAACATACCACACATCCGGCGTCGTTTTTCATCACCGCAGATATGGGGAATGGAGCAAGAGTCTGGCTGCATGGGGCCGACGCACAAGACAACGTATCGGGTCGCCCCTGGACCCGTTCGTAAACCATGGGGAACCAAGGCTCTCGTCATTGCGGCGCACGTCTTACGCGTCAGGCATCCAAATTACTAGCATCACCATCCGCAACATTAGCATCACCATCACCACCATCTACCCCCAACTACTCCATCAGAGGGACCACAACTTTCTACGCGCCACCGCCCCCTCGCAGAGACCACCCTTCTGTATGCGACGCCGCTGCCCCCTCAGAAGAAAAAGAAAAAAGCGGTGGGACCAATCACCGATTTCGTCATCATCATCAACATCATGTTCGTCATCATTCTCACCGTCATCATCACCACCCTCTGCCCCCATATGTTCCTGTCGAATGGACCGCGCCTTCCCGTGCCAAAGCGCGTTCTCAGAACTATTACTCATATCTACCCCCGTCGCCCCCATCCCCTTCGCCGTCATGCTCTCCAGAATACACCGTCATCCTGTATGCTGTTTGGCCAGAGTGTAGATACTGATGCCTTAAAAAAATAACTCCGTCATCCAATCGCCACAACATCACCAAATATGGCTTACTGTGCATAGGTTCGCTCGGTAAGAAGTCACAAAACATCAACAGAGACATGTGTGGGAGTTCCCCGACCCCCCCCTGGAAAACAAAAACCATCGCCCCCCGTCCAGGGTAGTTTTTGGACCTTGATTTTCCTGAAAGGGGCGGGGGGTGGGGGGGCTCGAGATTTGATGGGTTTGGGAGGTTTCCGGGGTGCCAAAAAACCTGGGGGGAATTAGGGGGGGGACGCTCCCTTCAAAGGGGGGTTTGCAGGAGGGTTTCGGGGGTGGGGTCCCCCCAGGAACCCCATCTGAAGGAGAGTGTTTCCAAAGGGGTTCGAAAGGGTCGGTGGGTTCCCCCCACGGAAGACCCCTCTCAACGAAGGCTTTTAGGGTGGTTAGAGGGCGTTGGTGGGTTTCCTCTCCATGAATTCCCCTCTCAAAGGAAGCTGTTTGGGGGGTTCAACAATTTTTCCCCCCTGGATTCCCTCCGTCAAGGGAGGTTTCTCAAGGGGGTTAAAAAGGGGTTGGTGGGTTTTCCCCTCAGGACCCCCGTCAAGGGGCAAACAACGGCTTTGAGGAGAACTTCCGCTGGAAAAACCCACCAACCCCCCCTAACCCGCCGAAAAACACCCGCTGGAGGGGGAGGGGCCGGGGGGGAAACACATCACACCCCCTACCCCCAAAAAACCACCTTTGATGGGGCCGGGGTGAAATCCAACCGCCCCCGCCAATAACCCTCCTTGAGAGGGGGGGTCCTGGGGGGAAACCCAAGGGGAGTCTTTTAAAGGGCTTCTGGGAACCTGCACCAACGCTTCATCATCCCATGGTCCACCATATCACTACTAGGGAGTTTTGTTGGGATCGCGAGGCGCTCCTGCGGCCTGGCAAGGGACCGCGGAGGCCGAAGATGGCTGACGCAAACCTCCCGTCGTGATTTGTTTTTCGCGACGCCTCGGGGGCCTTGGAACGCGATGCCACTGTTGGGCAGGATTGCCCAACATCCAATGGGAAAATTCAATTGACCATCGAAATACAATGTCCCCTCCCCCCCACCTCGGCTGCACGCAGCGAGCCGCCCTGGGCAAGAGTGACGTTTGATGCGCGGTTTCTGATTCAGGGGGCCGCCGCCGCGGCAAGGCCAAATCCAGGTGCACCGAGTGCTGGGGCGACCAGAGGCTGGTATGTTGGGCCCGCGGGCTCAGGTCTCTTGGCAGAGGGTTGCAGGGCCAAGGAGGCGACTGCGTCGACTCCAGGACTTCCACCGAGGGAAGGGGTAGGCTCGCTCGTGCGGTGAGGGGGGGAAAGGGAAGGCGGGGGGCCGTCCGCGTCTTTCCAGCCCGCTGCTCACATCTGATCCCGGGCCGCGGTCCGAGTTGATGGGGTCGAAGGACCACGCCGCATCGCCGATGCATCGCCGATGCGTCGGCCCACATCGAGCCGCACCGCCGATTCATCGTCGATGCGGAGCGATCCTTCGACCCCACCTGCCAGGACCCCACTTGGGAGGCCGTCACCGTCGTCGTTGTCGCCGTCGTCGCCGTGTCGTCGTTGACGTCGCCGTCGCCGTCGCCGTCGTCGTAGCCGTCGTCGCCGTCGCCGTCGCTGTCACTGTCGTCGTCGCCGCCGTCGTCGCCGCCGTCGTCGTCGTCGTCGTCGCTGTCGCCGCCGTCGTCGCCGCCGCCGTCGTCGTCGTCGCCGTCGCCGCTGTCGTTGGCCCGCCCACCTCCGAGCCAAGCTCGCAGCTCCTGCGAGCTAGGCCCGGCCCGCAGCCCCCCCGATAGCCAGGCCCCCCTCCGAGGCAAGCCCGCCCCCCCCCCCCCGCCCGCCCCTCCGACGCCGCGCGCCCCCGCGGCCAGGCTGCACGGGCCCTCTCCCCCTTGTGTGCAAACGCTGGGGGGCGTTTTCATGTTTTCGTTTTCGAGATGGAGCGTTTGTTTCGGCTACACACAAGAGTGACCCTGGGGAAGAGTGACCTTTGGTGCGCGATCTAGCGGGGGCCGCTTGGGGGCGATTGGGGGGCCCCACTGGGCCCGCACGAAAGGTCACTCCGGCCAAGGGTCACTCTTACGTGTAGCCGATTGTTTGCGGTACAGTGGGATCTAATCCCGGGTTTCGGGATTGTCGTATGCCGATGTTGTGCCGCTCTCTGGGGGCTCGGCGGGCTGCCGATGTTGTTGTTTCGTGTGTTGTTGCTGGTTTTGTTGTTTGGGGGGTATGTTCGGGGTTGCCGTGATTTTTCTCGTAGTTCTGGTGAGCCGAAATCCAAACATCTGGAAACGGAGAAAACCACGCCCCAAACGTTTGAAGCATCAACTAACCTCCCCCCCACCGCCAGGAGACACAGAAGGACAACAACTCCCCATATGTTTTAAGCAACAACGAACCTTCCCCCCCCCTTGCCGCCGGAAGAAACAGAAGAAACAAGTGTGAGGAAATACGTCGCGCGGCGATTTGGGAGATACGTCGGATCCACGCCAGATGTACGCTGGGTTCCCGTCGAACGACGTCGTCTTCACAAGCGTCGCCCCATATCTGACGGAGCGGAAGTGTGGACTAGACGATACAACTATTGCGCGCCGCGCAAGGCCTCCAGGAGTTCCCTTATCGAAGAACGCACCGACATCTGCCCACCCTGGACCAGGCAGCACGGGTGCGGCTCAACACGAATTCGCGCGTACGATAACCTTAGCTCTGGTACGCAGTCATATGCACGTGCACATGTCGACGAGCGATGCGCTAGCCTCACGTCATCTGAAGTCTCAAGCGGCAACGACACTGACTTCTTAGCATCGGACGGTATTGTGGATCTCGCCCGTGCGCTGTAGCGTAGACTATACAGCACGGCAACAGATGAAGTCGATGCGGGGGGCGAGAGAATGACAACAACAAGGGCATCACAAACCGAGGATGAGGAGCAGAAGAAGGAGGGAAGAGGAGAACAGTGGTGCGAAGACGAGAGATGAATTACATCAGGGAAAAAACCCAATCAGTGGATGGTTTGATCGATAAGGAGATCGACTGGGAACCCAAGAACCAGGAACCCAGCGAAATCGGCCCAAAACCATTGCCCAGGAACCCGGGAACCTGGAACCGGGAACCCCGGAACCCAGCCAGCCACCAAAATCGGCGGGACACTTTCGCCAAATCTTGCAATTTCCGCTATGACCCCTCCACTGCAAGCTCTGATTGGGGAATGATGACATATATGGTATGAGTCGAGGGGAGGAGTACATGCGCACGCATGGGCACTTGCAACCGAACAAAACAATACGAACAAACAGTAGACGACCACGTGTTTGCTTTGGTACACACGAGCAAGACAGTGCCTGGCAATACACAAACTTAGGTAATGTACAGAAAAGATGGCCAATCGGTTGACGACACATGATGCCATACGACGCTGGCACCGCTGACACGGCTGTCGTCTGCCGGCTTGGAGTCCCAGATCTCGAACTGCCTGTGCCAAGCAGGACAATGACCGGGGGCAAATCCACGGGCCCTCTCCGCGCGCCAGCTCCGCCACCAATGCTTCACTCTTACCCCTTCGAAGCTCCACGCAACCGGCCCCAGACTGCCTCTAAGCTCGGGCAGCAGGCTCCAAGTAGGGCCCAGGGTGGCCACGGGTCGGCCTAGCGCCTTCCGAGGATGACATTTTCACGCCTGTGCCTTACTGTGCTTCCACCGCTCCTGCTCCCCCTGCTCCTCCTGCTCCTCCGCCTCCTGTTCCTCCTCCTTTTCCTCCTCCTCCTCCTCCTCCTCCTCCTCCTCCTCCTCCTCCTCCTCCCCATCCCCATCCTCCTCCTCCTCCTCCTCCTCCTCCTCCTCATCGGTCACGGTCATCGGCCTTACCTTACCCCTCGCCTCCTCCTGCTCTTCCTCCTTCCGCCTTCCTCCGTTCTCCTTCTCATTCTCCTTCGCCCCACTCCGCATCTTCCTTCCCGCTCCCCCTCATCCCATCCCGCTCCCCTCACCCCACCCCCACGGGGTCCCCGGAAGTCTCGACCCATTCCCGAGGACCAGTTTTTCATCCTGAGTTGTTTTGTTGACGGTCCTGAGGCCCGGCGAGGGCCACTAGAGGCCGAAAACTAAGAAAAACCTGCCTTGATTTTTGTTCAATGCGTTGGATCTCTGGGCCCTCCTCCCTCTCCAGCCACGAGGGAGCCAAGCCGCCCCGAGGCGGCCGCACACTGCTGGCGAGTCCCCCCCCCAGACCTCCCCGCGCTGTGAACAAAATCACGACGGGAAGCTGTTCGCCATTTTCGACCTCCGGGGGCCCTCTCGGGCCTCGGGACCGTCCAGAAAAACGACTCAGGACGAAAAGCCGGCCCCGGGGAAGGGGTCCAAACCTCTGGGGGTCGACGCTGCGAACAAAACTCACGACGTCGGGGATGCCTGGGGCCGCCGCTCGGAGGCACCCGTGACACAGGGCCGACCCCCCCCCCTCGGGAGCGGCCAAGAGGGGAGTGTCCAAGAGGGGGGGGTGCAAATCATGACCGGCGGCATGTGCGCGGCCCAGAGGGGGGGGGGGCCAGGGACGTAATGAAATAAGAAACGGCGCCATGAAATCTGGGGAAATATCATGGCCCCCGCCATGATATCCGCCCCCCCCTAGTCATCACCCCCCTCTTTGCCGCCCCCCCCCCTCTGGGGCCCCCTGGGGCCCTCTGGGCTCAGAGACCCGAGCCGGGGAAGGCCGCAGGCGGCGGCACGGCCGCGGCCGCCTCCTCGCCGGAGGCGCGGCACACATCTGTGGCGCCACGGGAGCGCCGCCACGCGTGGCGGCGCCCTCTCTCGGTAGCCTGGCACGAGGCCCTGAGATCCGACGTAGCAAAAAAAAGTGCAGCAAAGTGAAACATCACGCCCGGAGCCATATGGACCCCGCCTTTCTGTGTCACTCTTCGAGCCAGATCGATCTGTGAGGGCCCAGGGACCCGAAGAAAGGCGAAAACGCCCAGCTCGAAAAATTTGAGACGCCAGGATTTGGACGCCCGAGTTATCCGGGGTGGTTCCTGAAAAAGGAACCCGAGTTAGCCCTGACCCGAGTTATCCCTGATGATCTGGGGCTCTGGGCGCCCGAGTTATCCGGGGTAACTCGGGCCCGGGATAACTCGGGTTTGGGTTCCCGAAAAACGAACCCGAGTTATCCCTGACCCGAGTTACCCCTGATGATTCGGGGCTCTGAAGGGTCTCAGGGGAGGGTGCAGGGCAGAGCACCCGCGGGCCGCTCCGCGGCCCCTGGGCGCCAGGAGCAACGGCTCGGCGGCGCGTGCGCAAGGTCGGGGGTCAGAAGTTGAGGCTCGAGGGCCTCTCTCCTGCCCATCCTTCTCAGTGTCCTCGTCCCTCTTCCTCTCCCTCCCCATTGCTCCCTCTTCTCCCCCCTCTGCTATCCCTCGCCTGTAGAGCCCTCGAACGCCCTCCCTCGCCCCTGACCTCCAGCCGCCTGGAGGCCGCCCCTGAGATATCCTGAGTGAGCAGCCACTGAGTAGGGAAGGGGCTTGGAGAAAGGCCGCCGCGGCCCGCGGCGGCTGAGCATCGTTTCACCGATCCCTACCCCCACTCGCGTGGCCTGGGCCCCACTGGCCGGCTTACCCCCCCAGGTGGGGATATGGGCGGCTTCTGTCAGGTGTCGAAGGGTATATCCCCAACTGGGGGGATGAGACGGTGGGGCCCGAGATGTGGATGGGGATGGGGAGACATGAGCCATGTGTATGGATCGGCCAAACGATACTGAGCGGCGCCGGCGCGCTCGCTGCAGCGCGAGCTCGCCGAGCCAGCGCGCCGGGCGCACGGGGCGGGGCGGACGGCAGGGCTCCGGGCACAGAGCGAGCCAGCACGCTCCGCGCCCGTGGCGGGCAAGTGGTCGGCGTGCGGCGGCAGGGGCCTCGCCCCCTCGGGCACGGGCCACTGCTCAGCCGTGCCACCGGGCCAGACGCCGGCAAGGGCGGGCGCGCGGAAGCGGGCGGGCCAGCCCGCGAAGCCGCCGAGAGCACACGGGCTGGCGGCGATCACCGCGGCACGGAGACCACCAAGCACGGCTCACACACGCACACGCACACGCTGTGGCGGGACTCGCGGTGATGTGCTGCAGCACGCCCGCCTGCGCCGCGCGGCCCCACCAACGCCATGCCCTGCCGGAGTGGTGGCGCATGCCGTGCAGGGATCCCGGCGCAACGCCCCAGACGTTACGGGCATGATCTTCGATATGGCAGACCAGCTGCTGCAACAGAGCGCACTACATATCTTGTACCACCCAGCTTGCACCACCTAGCTTGCACCACATAGCTGTCACCACATTACTCCTACCACATAGATTGCTCCGCATAGCTTGCGCCACATGGCTTGCACCATAGAGCTTGCACCACACAGCTTACACCACAAAACTTCCACGACATGTATTGCACCGCATAGCTTGCAACACATACCTTGTCTCATATAGCTTGCTCCGCATAACTTCCACCTACAATGTACGTGCAGCTCGTAGATAGCATCGCATATATTGCAGCAAATAGCTTAGACCACATAGCTTGCACCCCATAGCTTGCACGACACCTGTTGCACCACATTGCATTACGTAGCTTCCACCACCTAGCCTGCACACCTACAGCGCCATAACTTCCTGTGTGTGGTCCACGCTGGCAACCATTGCTGAAACTAACTAGAAGTGGTATGTAAGTGTTTGGATCGATATGTACTGACATCGTGACATTGCTTGGAGATCCAATATTGATCAGAATGTTGGCAAACGCGCGCGCGGCGGAGCGCGCATGTACTGAACATCATATAGTGAACAAGTGATCTTCACGAAAACACTTCTCAGAACCAAGCGTATCACCGCACAATGTGATTCAACAGGAATGAACAGGGGGGCAGTACCAGGACTGCTTGGCATGCTACTATTGATCTGTAGGATGAGTGATCGTACAAACTGAACGAAAACAGGGACACGGTTAACCTGGCATAGGTGGGAGGGTATAATCGAATCTCCGTCAGGGGAATAAGATCTATCTAGTGCAACCAACATGTTGCACACATAGTTTGGTATAAGCTATGCGGTCCAAGCTATGTGGAGTCAGCTGGATAGTGCCAGAACTGCGATGCACGCTAAGTGGTCTAAGCTATATTGCCTACGCTACGCGGTACCATACATGTGGTGTAAGCTAAGTGGTGCAAGCTATGCAGAGCATGCGATGTGGCATAAACTATTTGGAGGAAGCCATTTGTTGTCAGCTGTGCCGTGTAATCTATGTGGCGAAAGCTATGGGGTAACATCTATGTGGTAAAAGCTTGGCTGTGCAATCTATCGAGTGCAATCCACGTGGTGAAGCTATTGGTGCTAACTTTGAGGTGCAAAATATGTATGGTAATCCATGCAGTCGCCCGTGGGGCGCCCACGCAACCTGGCACCAGCAGAAACCTCCACAGAGCAACCCAGCGCACACGGCAACCACGAGGCGCCCTCGACTGGGCACCACCTGGGCACCAAGCGCAAGTCGGACAAGCCAACCCAGCGCACCAGGCGCCCACGAGGTACCCACGACCAGGCACCAACCAGGCACCAGGCGAAACCTCGACAGACGAGTCCAACGCACCAGGCACCCACGAGGCGCCCACGACTGGGCACCAACCGGGCACCAGGCGAAACCTCGACAGACCCATCCAAAACCCTACGTATCCCAGGTCGGAACTCCCCAGTGCAAGCACTGCTGGAGACAGAATTCGATGATCCACCCCACGGGACCCCACTTCAGACACGCGACCAGGGACAGTATAGGACTGCTCACCCCCCCCCCAAACGCTGACAACACCGCCACCCTTGACACCCTCTGCCCAACCAGCGTCTAGGCTGTGGTGGGTGTGATCCCCCCCTCCCCGACCATTCTCCGAAGCTGAGGCGCCCGCCTTTCCAAAGTCGCGCCGCCATGGGCTTCCAGCTCCGTGGTCGGCGCTCCCCGCGCGGCAGCCACGGTGGGCGTCGTGACCGCACTGGGCGGCGCGGTTCGGCGCGTGGGGAGAGACTGGCCGTGGGATGGCAGCTCGGAAGGGATCGGCATCGCTTACATTCGCACATCAGCATCGCTTGCATTCATATTCAACTGCAAAGCAATCATCATTTGTCTGAATCAACGGAAAATCGCACAAACGATTGCAGGAATTTCAACGCCACTGTGTGTGCTATCCCCGCCCGTTCCTGTGCGCATCCGTCTCTTTTCTCGATGCTTCCGCTCGCGTAGCAACTCGGGGCAGCCTGTCTTGCACTGGCCTTCAACACTGTTGCCGACCCGTCGTGGCGCGACTCTGCGCGCGACCTGAGGGACGGTTGCGGGAGGCTTGGAAATTGGCACCGACACCAACACAGGGCGGGGCCTCCAACGGGGGAAGGTTATCTTAGAATTTGGTGTTGGTTGCACTCTTCCCGAATGTTATTACCATCGAGATCGGGATCATCTCTCCTGGGTGGAGGCACACCGCCGATGTTGGTGTTGGTGGTGCTAACCTCTAGGCCTCCGAGAGTGAGCAAAAGAGCGCACGCCCGAAGGTTCACAGGCGTCCCGCATGACTCGCACCCGCCCCGCGCTGCGCCACAGCAGTGCCACCCACTGCAGTGGCAGTCGCTGCCCTCCGCGACCTCATCAATATCCCCGCAGCCCGCAGTCTGAGTCGACTCGAACTTATCCCTGCACCTAAGATCGGCAAACGCAGTGCGATGTCAAGCTTAGGGATGTGCCCTCAGAAACTGAGGAAGCCCTTACGATCGGTACCGAAGTAAAGGGCGCAAAACATAGGGATAAGGATATGTCTCAGGCCGGTACTAATCTGGTCTTCTCCAGCCGTCGGCTGCTGGCGGACTCGCCGGGAGGGGCGGCTCCACGGAGCGCTACACTGGTACCTGTGGACCACGCCACTCCTCAGTCACATCTGACCCCTGCCGCGCCATGGCCCCTCGACGCGCAGGTCGTGCAGAGCATATCAGAAGGCGGAGTCCTTGCACAGCGCAGTGATAACAGCTAGCAGGCCCGAAACAGAGTCCACGGAGGCGCTCGTTGGGTGCAACTCTGGCAGCGCAACCCGCGAGATTTCTGCGAGCAAACCTTCCACGGATGACAACTGCCTAGCGTGGCGCAACGATGCGGCCAGACCGTGCAGATCGCTGATGTCGCTGGGCCGCGTTCGCCCGCAACGCCTCACGAGGCAGAAGCTGGCATGGAATCCCCGACGCGCCGGGGTGCAGGCATCAAGGCTCAATGGTGCCAAAAAGGAGCGGCGCAAGAGCTCTGCCTGTAGCCAGCGATCGAAATCTGTCAACACTAGAGGCCTCTCAGATAGGGTCCGAGTAATTAGATGGGGCCGGAAGGTCGCGCCGCAGCGCCAACGCATCGCCGATACATCGGCGACGTCTGCGATGCATCGGCGCCGTCGGCGTGGAGTACATCGGGCTCCACATGGAGCTGCATTGCCGATGCACCGGCGACGCGGCGCGACCCTCCGACCCCATCTGCTCCGACTCCATCTGAGCGACGCTCAAAAACGGGTCTTACACGAGATGACGTAACGACCTTACGCGGTGACTTACGCGGGCCGCCAGCGAGGCACGCTACATTGGATACGAGGGCGCTTGAGCGCGACCTTACGCGAGCAGCTTACGCGCCTATGTCGGCGCAATCGAACCCATGTTTCGTGCGTCGCTCATCTGGGAGGCCCATAGAAGTAGGGTCGTCCTGCAGCCTGTCTTGAGGAAGCGACCCTCATCTGAGCGCACGGCGGCACCGCCCGCGACAGCCTATGCGGGGCGCAACCCTGCGCGGGCACGGCGCGACTTCATCGGCACGAGGCGCCTTAACCTGGAGCGCAGGGCCCGCCACCGGCGACGCCGAGGTCCCGCTCGAGCTCCTGGGATAATAACAATTACCTATACGACAACCCTTCGGGTGATAAGGAGGCTGTGGGGGGGGGGGAGAGGGGGAGGAAGCAACATCTGTCTCAATCGATCTCGCTATCGATCTCACTCAACGGGACACCACGGGACACCACGGGACACTTGTCGATCTCACTATCGATCTCACTATCGATCTCACTCAACGGGACACCACGGGACACCACGGGACACCTCGGGACACCACATCGATCTCACTATCGGTCTCACTATCGGTCTCACTATCGATTTCACTCAACGGGACACCATAGGACACCACGGGACACCACGGGACACCTCGGGACACCACATCGATCTCAGTATCGATCTCACTCAACGGGACACCACTGGACACCACGGGACACCACGGGACACCTGTCGATCTCACTATCGATCTCACAATCGATCTCACTCAACGGGACACCACGGGACACCTCGGGGCACCACATCGATCTCAGTATCGATCTCAGTATCGATCTCACTATCGATCTCACTCAACGGGACACCACGGGACACCACGGGACACTTGTCGATCTCACTATCGATCTCACGATCGATCTCTCTTTTTGGGACACCACGGGACACCACGTGACACCACATCGATCTCAGTATCGATCTCAGTATCGATCTCAATATCGATCTCAGTATCGATCTCATTCAACGGGACACCACGGGACACCACGGGACACCACGGGACACCGCGGGGCACCGCGAGCCACCGCCGGACGGACGGACGGACGGGCGGGCGGGGGAGAATGATTTGACTTGACTTCGCCCTAGCAACGGCGGACACCACAGGACACCACGGGTCACCGCGGGACACCGCGGGCCACCGCCGGACGGGCGGGCGGGGGAGAATGATTTGACTTGACTTCGCCCTAGCAACGGCGGGTTCATTCCTCTCGCGCGCCCACGCAGCTTCGCCTCGCCCGACTCGCCCGCACGCACGACACGAACGAAACGAAACGATTTCCGGGTTGGGCGTCTCCGTTCCACTGCGATCTCACCACCCAACCTCCGACCGATACCGCTGCCTCCTCCATCTCCGCCTCCTCCTTCTCCTCGTACTACTTTTCCTCGTCCTTGTCCTCCTCCCCCCTTCGCCTCCTCCTTCATCTCCGCCTCCTTCTCCTCCTCTTCCTCCTCCTGCTCCTCCTCCTCCTCCTCCTCCTCCTCCTGCTCCTCCTTCCCCTCCTCCTCCTCCTCCTCCTCCTCCTCCTTCCTCCTCCTCCTCCTCCTCCTCCTCCTCCTCCTCCTCCCCCTCCTCCTCCTCCTCCTCCTCCTCCTCCTCCTCCTCCTCCTCCTCCTCCTCCTCCTCCTCCTCCCAAGACCTCTCCTGGGGTGCGTTCTGACCACGATTCCGAAGGGAATCGACCCGTGGCGACGAGGGCTTCCCAAGAGGCCCAAAGAGGGGAAAGCGAGGCAAGGGTAGCCGTATCGGTATTCTTTCCTTCTCCGAGCTCCGTCCCGCAGAAGGCCGCCACGAGCTCGGCCCAGTTCGTGAAGCTGCCGCGTAGGTCGCGGGAGCCCTTCTTCGCCACGTTGCCCTCCTCTCGCGGGCCGAGGCTCTTCTGGGCGCTTTTGGTGCTGCTCGGGCCTCCTGGGGCGACCTTGGTACCGCGGCCGTGCAAGCCTCGCAGTTCGGGCCGGGGCGCACACCAGGAGAGGTCCGGGGCTGGACATCTTGCAGGACCGGTCGACACTGGACGGGGGGGCCAGCACAGGTAAGGAAGGGGTGCTGGGCCCCGAGGGGCCTGGCTGGGACCTTTCGGGTGGCCGGGGCCGCCAGAAGGCCTCTGGAGCCCAAGACGCTGGTCCGTAACCCGACGAAACCTCAATTCTCCGTCCGCGATCCTGCGTGTGGGACCGTCGGAGGGGCCCCCATTGAAGGCGGGCGGCCTCTGGCAGAGGTGCCTGCTCCTGTGCCAGTGCGCGCACGCGCACGCGCTCGCTGGCGGTCGCGGCCTCGCGCGCAGCGTCGAGGCGGAGACGGTCACCGAGCGGGCGGGTGCGGGCGCGCGGCGGGCCCCTCAGAGCGTGCAGGGAGGCGTGCTGGATCGGCCATGCCATCCGCATGCCCGGGCGCGGGCAGCGAGGGTGCAGAGGGTGGAAGGGCGATCGCCCAGGACAGGCATTGTGTTTTCCCATCGGATTTGAGGACCACATCTCGGACATGATGTCGAGCACCCAGAGAAGTATCGAAACAGTGTCGAACGAGTATCGCCACCCAGGGGCCGACACGTGAAAACCCTCCAGTTTCGGAATGTTTCTGGTGCTCGGACTTCTGCCTGGTGATCGAAGCTAAAGTAGGATGGAACATCATAGAACAAGTAGAGACCCAATACGACGAGCGCCGAGAACCGACACTTGGCGGCGAGCGGGGGGGAAGTGAGACAGAGAAGGCCTTTTCAGAAGGCTCAGAAGTCCCCCGGGCTTCCGAGAAGTTCTGAGCCTTTCCCGAAGACGCAAAAAAACCTCTCAAGAGGCGCGGGGGCTCCTGAGAAGTCCCGCCGCTTTCTGAGAAGGCCTGCTCCTTCTCACTTCCCCCCCTCGCTCGCCGCCGAGACAAGCACACAACGTGTTTTCCTTTCGCCGGCGACGTGGCGCCACGTTCGCGAGAGCTGGCCCATGGGGTGCGCAGCAGCCATACGTAGGGCACCCAGCACCTGGCTGACGAGAGCAGGCGGCGGGCCTGACCCGCCGCGCGCACAAGCAGCTGCGTGGAGCCCGGCCAGGCACAGACGCATCCACACCTTCGCCGCTCCGGTACGCAACAGGCAACACGTAGTTCGGTGGCAACTCATGGGGGCCTTCCATACCACCTTGTCGGATCTTGCGAATCGACGCTGGTCGACGCTAAGTCGATGCGGACCGAGAGTGAATTGGCGCTATCTCATCGACTCCGAGACGCTAATCGACGCCAGTCGACGCCAGAGCCAAATCTACAGGGTACACCAGGCTCCCATGAGCTGCTACCGAACGCATCCACACCTCTGGCCATCGCTCGGACGTCTGTTCCCTGTGCTTTTCTCGGTCTCGTGCGTGGCTTTTCCGCCAGATGATCAAGGATGCTCCTCGATGGCCCTCGCCGAAGGAAGAGTGCACACGTCCGAGCGCTGCCAAGACCTTGGCCGCCCCGAGGCGCACGCACGCAGCACGCAGAGCGCGGGCACGGAGCTCCACGCGCAGGCCGAGGGGCAGAGGTCGGGCGCGGCACGCTCGCGACGACGTGGGCCAGCACGCGCCGAGCCAACGCGCAGCGTATGGAACACGGGCGTCTTGAGCACGGCAAGCGTTGCTGACAGGAGATGTGACGACCCCTGTCCCGGGCATCGTGGGGCTTTCGGGTGGACCGAGCATCTGGGGCCCCACCCTGGGACATACGAGGGGGGGCGTCCATCCTCGATAGGGGTGCGCCCGAGCAGCCCCCTGGGGGTGTACCCCAGGGCTCCCCTACTTTTCGTAGCCGCTGCATTTTTCGTCGAAGAGTCGGGGGTTGGGAGAGAGACGTCGCCTGCGAGTTGCGCTTCGCCCCGAGCGGGCCGCCTGAGGCCCTCGAGTTGTAGCCCGCCGAGCTTCGAGGGTAGCGCATCGGGGATCGCTTGTAACTATGCCTCCTGAGGAAGAGGAGGAGGAGGAGGCGGAGGCGGAGGAGGAGGAGGAGGAGGAGAAGAAGGATGGAGAGGAGGAGAAGGATGGAGAGGAGGATTCGCACATGCGCAGACACGCACACGCGCTTCTGTGGGGGCGACCGCCGCCTCGCGCGCAGCGCCGAGGCGAAGAGAACCCCCAACCGAGAACGCGCGCGCGGCCGGCCCTTCTGAGAGGACGGCGCCATACGCATACCCGGGCGTGGGCAGCAGGGGTGCAGAGGATGCAGCGGCCCCAGACCTCCTCGAGTCATGAAAAAATCACGACGGGAGGTTTTCCCTATTTTCGGCCTCTGAGGGCCCTTACCGGGCCTCGGGACCGTCAAAAGACGACTCGGGATGAAAAACCGGTCCCGGGGAATGGGTCTGGACCTCTGGGGGTCGCGTCATGAAAAAATCATGACGTCGGGGGTCTGGGGGTGCAGGCGAGCCCGAGGGCGAAGGGTGCGCAGCGAGGCCGACAATCAGGACGAGAAGCAAGCGAGGGTGGGCAGTGACAGCGAAGGAAGCAGGCCGACCCGCGGCCGCCAAAAACCGTTCACACACGCACGCCCACACGTGCTTATGTGGCTGCCGCTCTGGTCTCCTTCGCGGCGACCGGGGAGACGCCCAGAAACCGCGTGATGCGGTCGACCACGCGCTGCTCGTCGGCCAGCAGGTCCTCGTAGCTGATGTGCAGCACCGGGTGGCCCCTGCCCTCGAGGACACGAAGGGTCTCGTTCCGCACCCTCTCGAATCGCACCTTGCTCTCGACGTACCACCTCAGCCTCGTGATGTTCACCTTTTTGCGGGCGTACACGTCAGCCGTGCAGGTCGCCGCCTCGGCCGACTTGAGCATCTCGGCCTGGCCCTGGCCGCTGCCCCCTCTGGCCTGCCCGCGGCCGGTGCAGAAGAGCAACTCTTCCTTGTGAAGAGTGCTCAGCCCCCAGGCAATGGCGTTCAGCCGGGTGATGTGGATGAACCGCATCCCAGGCGGGACGCGCTCGTCCAAGATGGACTCGGCTCTCTGCGTCTTGGTGCCTGCCGCGAGCCTCGGACTTGGCAACCCCATGCCCGAGCGCACCATGTCCAAGAAGCAGCTGTCGTGGCCTTCGCCGATCCACATCAGCTCTGGATGCTTCCTGAGAACATCTTGTGCCAAATGCGTCGTTCCCGTCTGGCCTCCGAACATGACGACCGGAGCGCTCCAGGGGGAGCTGAGCCGGAGAGGGTTGGCCCAACTTTCTCCTCCTTTTCCTCCTCCTCGTCCTCCTCCTCCTCTTCCTTCTCCTCCTCCTGCCCGGGAGGGGAGATTAGGCCAAACCCCCTCTGCCCTGATCACCCTTAGCACCCTCCAGGATGAGAAAGGGTGTGAAATTCTTCCCGCAGCTCGCGGGCTCGAGGCCGCACTGCTGCCAGCTGCGTATCTGCCGCTGGAGGCGGGCGGGGCCCTCCACGGCGTCCTTCAGGCAAGCGGGCGACATCTGGGGGCCATCCTGCTTCCGCCAAGCACCACCCTCCGTCGCCGCGTCGCCCGCGACGGCCTTCCCAGCCGCTCCCTCGTCGGTGGCCTTCTCATTCGCTGCTGCCTCCTCCCGTGTCCTGCTCTGCGCTGCTGCCTCTTCCGGCCCGTTCTTCGCTGCGGCCCCTTCTTCCTCCGCCTCTTCATCGTCCTCTGCAGCTTTCTGGTTCGCGGCCGTCCGTGCGGGATTGGCGGGCGCATCGGCGGGCGCGCCGATCCCCACCGCCACGTCGACCGGGGACTGGTGCAGCTCTGGTGAGGCACTGACAAGGCTCAGAGGCTGGATGCGATACAGAGCCGGGACACGTGACTGCAGAGCTGTCCGCACCAAACTGACCACGACGAAGAGTGCCACGGCTGCAATGCCCGACGCGCGCCGAACTTTCTGCTGCCCCCTGCACATTGAGCCTGCTCGCGCCAATCCTCATACCTCTGCCAACGTGTAGAGCGCACAGCAGCAGGAACTCTGCTATTTGGTAAGTAAGATGTCCGAGCATCAGCCAAAATGGCTAGACCAGCACTGCTACGGTGAGGGGTCAGAGCAAGCACCCTGAACACTTTTGAATGTTATAACTCATATGGTGTATTCTGCATAGGTGGCGAGGGGACTTTTTGAAAGCTCTACTGTGCTGCAGCATGACACCAGATGTCGGTACGCTTTCTTCGTGGTTAAGAGTGCAGCACTCGATCCAGCGATAAGTGCAGACGCCAACTCCTGCAAACAAACGTAAGGTAAGGTAGAGACGGCTGGGCAAAGCTTAACAAGCTCAGCCTTGGGCACGGTGAACTGAGACCAAATAAGGCTATGCAAGGCCACGTGTAATATTACGATTGGTTGCTCTTGACCTGCCGTGGCTATTGCCCTACCTGGTTCAACCTACGGACTGAATACTCTACGCTTGCTCTGCACGTGCATACACAATTCATTCGTCTTTACACAGCCCAACAACTGTAACTACTTGCTCGCCACTGCTGAGCGTTTACAGCATTTTCGCTTTCGCCCAGATGGCGTTCGCCGCTGATACATGCATGGCCAGAACGAGGCATTGAGATGGAGAGGAAGAGAAAGGAAAAAGAGAGAGAGGGAGAAGGAAAGACACAGAAACAGCGAGAGAGAGAGAGAGCGAGATAGACAAAGAGAGCGAGAGAGAGAGAAGAAATTGAACAAATAATTGCCATACTCACGTGTCACCCTCCTCCCCCATCACCGTCGCACCCCATGTCACCCACATCTCCTTATATCCGTCCTTCATCATTGTAATATCATGTGTCACCCTTCTCCCCCATCATCGCCCCATTCCGTGTCGCCCCCCTCCCCCATCACCGGCTCTCTCTGCAGGAAAGTAGGGCAACCAACCAGCGGCTAGTTAGTTAGTTGAATCGTTAATTCGCGGGGGATTGATTTGTGGCGGGGGCTGCTCGACGGATTAGGACCACCAGCGATACTGGGAAAATAATTGCTCCCCCGCAGCGGCTACGTTGATGATCGGGGGGGGGATGGGCACCCCTGAGGGTGATGATGATGGTGATGGTGCTGAGGGGAAGGACACATCTAATTGCCAGCCTAGAGCTTCTGGGGGGCGGATTCAATTGAAGACCCTCATGGGCATTCGTTTGTTGGTTGGCTAATTCTCTTGTTAGCTATTGAATGATAGTAGTAACAGTAATAATAACAATCGTGAAAACAATAGTAGTGGTATTACTGGTAGTAAAAATAATAGTAGTAGTCGTCGTAGTAGTAACAATCCTAATAAGTGTTCTAATCGTAAGAGCAGTAAGAGTCGTAGTAATAGTAGTAGTAGTAGTAGTAGTAGTAGTAGTAGTAGTAGTAGTAGTAGTAGTAGTAGTATTAATAGTAGTAGTAGTAGTAGTAGTAGTAGTAGTAGTAAAAGCAGTAGTAGTCGTAGTCGTAAAAGTAGTGGTAGTAGTAGTCGTAGTAATAGTCGTAAGAATAAAAGATAAACGTAGGGGTAGCAGTAGTCGTAGTCGTGGCAGTAAGAGTAATCGTAGTAGCAATAGTGGTAGCAACGACGAGAGCAATAGTCGTAGTAGTCGTAATATCCATATTCGCAGCAGCCGTAATAGTACTTATAAAACCGTAGTGGTGATGATCGTCGTAGTAGTTGTAATAGTAACCGTAGTGGTATTACCAGTAGGAGTAACAGCAGCAGCAGAAGTAGTAGTAGTAGTAGTAGAAGTAGAAGTAGAAGTAGCAGTGACAGTAGTAGTAGTAGGAGTAGCCGTCGTCGTCGTAGTAGTAGTAATTTGAAGAGTGGTAGTACTAGTAGTAGTAGTAGTAGTAGTAGTAGTAGTAGTAGTAGCAGTAGTAGCAGCTAGTAGTAGTAGTAATAGTAATACAAGTAATAATAGCAGTAGTAGCAGCAGCAGTAGTAGTAGTAGTAGTAGTTGTTGTAGTAGCAGCAGTAGTAGTATTAGCAGCAGTAGTAGTAGTAGCAGCTGATAGTAGTAGTAGTAGTAGTAGTAGTAGTAGTAGTAGTAGTAGAGGTGGTAGTGGTAGTAGTAGTAGTAGTAATAGTAGTAGTAGTAGTAGCAGCAGTAGTAGTAGTAGTAGTAGTACTAGTAGTAGTAGTAGTAGTAGTAGTAGTAATAGTAGTCGTAGTCGTAGTAGTAGTAGTAGTAGCAATAGGAGTAGTGGTAGCCGTAATCGTATAAGTCGTGGTGGTGGTGGTGAAAGTAGCAGTAGTACGGTCAGGGGCCCCTGCTGGTACACCTTTACAAGGGAGAGGAGCGCTGATCTACAGTCGAATCTCTGATCATGGCTGGTTTACAACTAAATGTTTGTGCGGTGGTTCACACGTGGAGTCCCGTCGGTCGGCGTATTGGAGTTGCGCATCTCCATGGCAATATTTTGTGGTGTCTTTACAATTCAATATCTGTTGCGCGATGGGTTTGCGAGTGCTCTGCATTTTGTTGGTGCGCCACACAAGGCATCTGATCCAGAGCTCACAGAGGAAGTAACGCTGATCTACACTAAAATCCCTCATCGCGGAGGGTTTGCCATGAAATATTTGATGCGGCGGTTTCACATATGTGATTCCTCCTGTATGAATGTGTTGGGTGTCGTTCTTCGTGTTTACATGCTTCTCACAGGTTCAGCTCTCACTTGAATTCCTTGTCTGGTGCGTTTGTAAACCTGTCCCTTTGTACTATGGACTTGCACTGAATGTCCTTGTATTCGTGCGCCGTAAATAGCAACCAATTGAGAGCTGACAATATCCGAAAAAACAAAAACAACAATCAAAACCTCAAGGGATTCATTGTCGCCCCAGCATGTATATTAAAGCTTGGTTGGGAAGATTCAGAAGCAGCTTATGTTTCAGAAAGGCATTCGCAATTAGTGCCTTTTGCGACGGCTTGGCAATTGGAATTCATGCTTTTGGTGCTCGATGGGCTTCAATGTGTTTCAACGTTTTGGCAATTCTCCAGTCCATTTCTTGTGTAAGGTGATTGCGATTGCGTTAGTTTACGCTGTAGATGTGCACGTAAGTCCGATCTGTTGATGCGCCACCGCAGGAATTCGATGGAACGCAGAAAATATTGGAAAAACTGGAGAAAACTGAAATTCACGCTTCTGGCGCATTCACATCTCAATTCTCTCTGGCTGGTTTACACATGAATCCCCTCTATGGTTGATTTATCATGTATTCCTGTTGGTTGGTGCTCCACAGCCGGAATCCGATTGAGAGCTGAGGGAGTTCTCACACTTGGAAGCGCTGAAGAACTGAGTCTTGAGACAATGCGAGACCTTGGAACCTGGAGACATTGAAGAAATTTTTCGAGCAAAAATCCCCATACAGACAAAAACAACTGGCCTTTCCCTTTCCGGTGATCATTTACAAATAATTTCCAATCCCCGCGGGCTTGCAATTCAAATGTGTTTGTCGTTGAGTTGCACTTGAACTATGTGTAATGCGTTTACAATTAAATTCCGTTTGTTGTAGATGAACGATTTGTTCTCTTATGTTGAGGCGCCACAGAACACATATTGAAACAATGGAACATCTCGTGAGCTGCGAAATTTCGAACAAAAACAAAGGACCAACACGCAACACAACCAAACCAATCATACTTTTACGCCAGCAACGCAATTAAACTTAGGAGGAGGAATGTGCAAGATAATCCCTTTCGACAAAAGAAAATGTACATGGTTTGAGTCTGTGGCGGCTTCACAACACTTGCTCATTACGTTGGGGTTCCAAGGTTTGACGTTTTGAACTTCTTATGTTGGTCGAGTTGTTTCATTTATTTCCAAGTAGAAACCATTCGTGCGGCTGCGGATTTGCAAGTCGATGTCCTTCGCATTACACATTTGAACGTATTGTGCACAAGCTTCACACCGAAATTCAGTGTTGTGGTGCTTTTGCAACTCAATTCCTTTTTTTCCTGGCGGGTTTACAATTTAATTCCGTCTGATGTAGGCACACCTATCAATAATCGTGTGGCGCGTTTTATACTTCCCAACATCCAAACTGGGGTATTTGTTTTCTCTGGACAAATCGCGCAGGAATGTCACCTCACTTCCAACCCCTCTCCCCTTCACGCACTATCATCATCACCATAACCATGCATCGCCACTACTCATCATCATCCTCAGCATCGTCACCATCATCATTATCATACTCATGCACACCCACACCCTTATCATTCGCATCATCAGCAACATCCTCAAAATTCGACCAATCATCATCATTACCATCCTCGCCCTTATCAGCATCATCATGATTCGGTCACTCACCATCATCACCATTCATCATCATCAACAGCATCCTCATCACCACCCGTTCACTTATCACTTCGTCGCCACTCACTCCCTAGCTTGAATATGGGGGGCGTCTCGAGCGGGAGCCTCGTGTGTGAGTGAGATGCGGGGACGTCTCAGGCGGGAACCCCTCTCCTTATGGGGCCCGCACCTCATTTTTATAATCCGAGTGGGCCATCGGGGTCCTGTAACTGTTGCCACTTTGGGGCTCCTGACGGGGGTGGATATATGGAGGAAGTATCGGGCGGGAGCCTCGTCTGTGAGTGCATTTCGAGGAAGCTTCAGGCGGGAAGTCCCTCCCTATGGGGCTCGTGCTTTATGTTCGAATCCGAACGGGTCATCGGGACCCTGTAACTGTCGTCACTCTTGGGGTGCTGAGGCCTGAATATGGAAGAAATATCAGGCGGGAGCTTCGTCTGTGAGTGAAATGCGAAGCCTCCTCCCTATGGGGTCCGCACCTCACGTTACTAATCCGAGCGGGTCGTCCCAACCGTGGAATTGTTGTCACTTTTGGGCTCCTGAGGGGGGTGAAAATGGAGGAAGTATCAGGCGGGAGCCTCGTCTGTGAGTGAATTACGAGGAAGTCTCAAGCGGGAAATCCCTCCCTATGGGGCCCGTGCTTT